ATGCGAGTCTTGATCTCGGGGTCGTGAGTTCAAGCCCCACATTGGGCATGGAGCTTACTTAAAAAAAAAAAAAAAAGATTTATTTATTCATTCTTTTAAAATTAATAATCTCGCATGTGAAATAAACTTTTACAAAAATAACTATATTTTCCAAAAGAAAAACTTTTTTTTCCCCCGTAAGAAAAGCCTTTTACTGAGGAGTGTGACACTGTTTCACACTTTTGTGGATCTCTTTAATGTGTGGCTTTAAAGACAGCTGGACGCTCACACCCGCCTCTTCTGCACTGGGTCTCTGGCGGTGGGTTGTTTTGGTTGAAGTCTGCAAAGAAAATCTAGGTCGCGCTGATAGGTCATCGGAGAAGAGGACATCACAGGGCCCCTGGAAGGGACTAGAGACCACACTTCGAGAAATGCTGATCTAATGGTGATCTATGTGGGTCTCTGCTCACTTTGCGGAAGGCCAGTATCCCTAACCTCAGTCCCAGCATCTCTCTTCCCACTGGAACAAGTCCTTAAGCCTGATTCTTCTCACTCAAGTGACATGGGAACCCCACTTAGGTGAGGTGGCATGAGCTGGCCATTGGGCCCCTTGGTCCCCTGCAGGTGACACTCTCCAAGCAAAGTCGCCTCCTGCAGAGACCCAGACACTCCTCCCCATCCCCCTCCTGCCTGCTTCCCGCCTACCCCCAGCCCCCAAACAACAGCTGAATGAACCCCGACTACAGCAGCCCGGGGAGCTGGGACCACTGTCAGCGGGCCGGGAGCCCAGAATGACCACGAGGGCAGAAGGACACGGAATGGGGGCTCTGGGAAGAACATTCTGCCCAGAGCTACCCCAGCCTCCAGGGTTCACAAGGAGGGTTTTCTTGGTCCTCCCCAGATGGAAGGCCTCTACTGGCCTGTAGAGGAGGGGAAGGGGAAGACGGGGCAGGGCTGGTAGGAGCAGAGAGCCCAAGCAGTCAGCCAGGCCAGGGTTTTCAAACTTCGCTTTGGCCACAGAACTACTTTGGCGGGTTGTTTTGTTTTGTTTTTTTGTTGTTGTTGTTTAAAGATTTTATTTGTTTATTTGTTTATTTTTTTTAAATATTTTATTTATTTATTTGACAGACAGAGATCACAAGGAGGCAGAGAGGCAGGCAGAGAGAGAGGAGGAAGCAGGCTCCCCGCTGAGCAGAGAGCCCAATGCGGGGCTCAATCCCAGGACCCTGGGACCATGACCTGAGCCGAAAGCAGAGGCTTTAACCCACTGAGCCACCCAGGCGCCCCAAGATTTTATTTGTTTATTTGACAGCTATCACAAGTAGGCAGAGAGGCAGGCAGAGAGAGGAGGAAGCAGGCTCCCTACCGAACAGAGAACCCGATGTGGGGCTCGATCCCAGAACTCCGGGATCATGACCTGAGCCGAAGGCAGAGGCTTTAGCCCACTGAGCCACCCAGGTGCCCCTTGTTTTGTTTTTTTTAACCAAAGGGAGGCCAGCAGAGCTGCTCTGCCGAGAAATGGGTCCCAAGCCTTGAGGACTCTTCTGGCCTCTCTCGTGTTTGCCATCAGTCAGCCCCAAGATCTTGAAAATATGGTTTGGTCACTACGAGTGTGGTTCATCAGCCCATTTCACAGATGTGCCAACAGAGCCCAAGAGGGAAGACGTCCCTGGCTGACCGACTGTCAGTGGGTCAGGATTGGGTAGACCTGGAATGTGGTGCTTTCTGCAGGGGCCCTCAGGGACAGGGAGAAGAGACCAGCATGAGATGGGGTGCACGCTGAGCAGAGGGGTACACAGGGGCAAGGTGGGGGAGGCAGAGGCTGTGTTCAGGCAACAATTCACAGAGGGGCAACCCAGCCTGCAGGACAGGCAGGAAAGGAAAGGTAAATCTATCTTCTGTCCTTCTCCTGTGGCCACAAATCCAGCCTCTGACTGTGACAGTCACTGCCCCTTTGTTTCCACCCATGGGTCCCTGCCCTTCCCTCACCTCCCTGCCCCAGGAAAGGGAAGCCTTGGCCCTATGAACTTGGTCTTGGCCCTCCAAGACCCTAGAACAGAGGCCCTTTGACGCCCAACCCCCCCCCGCCCCTTGCAATTTCCTACATTCCCAGCCTCCTCCTGCCGCAGGGAGGGTGGGCTGCACTTTTGCACATACCTGAGTTTGTGTTCCGAGATCCTGTGGGTCCGGGCCCTGAGGGCCATGAGGCCTAACTCCCAGGTTTTCTGGAGAGAGAGGTCGTGACTTCTGTCACCTTCTCAAGTGGGTCTGTGGTCCAAAAAGAGGTCATGAATCACTGCGTGAGGAGAGGAGGGGTCTTGCAGAGGGGCGGGGCGGGGAGGGAAGGATTGTGGGGTGGGGAGAGCTGTGTCGGTGATATTCTTTCCTACAGGAGGCTTTATGTGTTACCTGGTTTTATTCCTCTCACCTACCTGTGACGGGGGTGGTCACTGGCTCCATTTTACAGATGAGGAAACTGAGACTCAGTGACATGAGGTAGCTTGCCCAGGACACAGCCCTGGCCGAGGGATGGAACAAGCCAGGGTAGGGACAGAGGCCTAAGATGGTGTTTTATTTAGTTCCACGAAGGCCTTCAGCTCTGGGACGGGCAAAGCCTCCCTTTGCCAGCTTCTGCACCAGCCCTTGAGCCCTGCATCTAGGTCCCCAGGAAATTATTTCGGCAGCCAGAGAACCTGACGGAGGGCTTCTAGCCTCCGAGAGTCAGTCCTGCCGAATGGAAGACAAGAGCCCCAATACTGGCCCTTGGTGTCCATTCCTTTCTAACAAGGAGAAGGGAGCAAAGTGTCCCTTCCATGGCAGGTAAGACCCAGCCAGAGGGCGGGTTCAGCAAGTTTCCCCAGCAAGTGCCCAGGCCCCTCTAGATGCCCCTGGCAAAGACCCTTTCTTTCTTTGCCCTTAGAAATGTCAGTCACCCCCACCATTCCCGAAATTATTGTTTAAAAAATCTTCATTGGGGCACCTGCATCTGCCTTCGGCTCAGGTCGTGATCCCGGGGTCCTGGGTTCGAGTCCCACATCAGGCGCCCTGCTCAGCAAGGAGCCTGCTTCTCCCTCTCCCTCTGCCACTCGGTCCCCCCACTTGTGTTCTCTCTCTCTGTCAAATGAATACATAAAGTCTTAAAAAATACAAAAATAAAAAATAAAATAAAAATAAAAGCATGTTTACTATATGTGATTTTTTTCCCTCTCATTGTTATTGGGATATAACTGCATTAGAGCCTTGTGTAAGTTTAAAGTGCACAGAATGATGATTGACTTCCATATGCTGAAACGATGACCACAGTAAGTTCACATCCTCACCTCGTGTCATTTTGGGGAAGGGGGAGAAAAGACGTGTTTTTTCTTTCCGACGAGAACTTTTAGGATGTGTATGCTCTTTTTCATATTTCAAATCCGCACTTCAGTGCTAACTAGAACCGTCATGTCATTCATCCCATTCCTGAAACCCTGGGCCTTAGTTTCTCCATCTGTAAATTGGGAGTCATGATGCCCAACCTACTTGCCTTACTGGGATTTCTAAGAATCACACGGGGAAGGTGTTTGGAAAAGTTCAGGATCCCCCACTGACATGACAGGGAGCAAACCTCTGCTGGGACTCACCCATCAGGTGACATTTCATGTCCCCAGGGTGTGGGATCCTGGCCACCCAGCTCAGGAGCCTTCCTCCTCTGGGCTGTGCTGGGGCAGCTCTGTGAGTGGTTTGGTGGGGGGGTGCCTAGGGGCCCAGAGGGTGAAGACAGCACAGATGGGTCATCCTTGCTTTCCCTGCCCACCCTCAGTGGCCTCCTTGGTCCTCACGGTGGGCTGTGGGCAGGAATGTCATCATTCCTGTCATGGCCTGGTCTGGGCAAGGCACCAAGCTGAGGACAGAAACCACAGTCCCACCCGATGACAACAGAAACCAGGGACGGGTGTTGAGAAAGTCATGGTGTTTACCCATGTCCTTTCACACATACAGGGCATAAAGTTTATTCTAGCCCTCTAGGGTAGAAAACCATGTTTCTCTGCTTCTCTAAAGCGATTAAGCCTCTTTCAACTTGACTGGTAGAGAATTCAAGCATTAGTCGTGTTTGGGGAGCCTACTTTTTCCTTGGGGTGGGGCAAGAATCTTGGGGCTCTTAGGCCAGAACACCTGGAGGAGGGCTCCTGGGTCCTACTCCACACTGGAGACTGTTCTTGGCCAAGTCCATGGGGGCAGGTGGGCAGGAGTATCTCCAGGGGCTCCCAGCTGGGGCTCTCAGAGTGTGGTGCCCCCAAACCCTTGTCCCTCCTCAGGCTTGGAAAACCTCTGCCCCCAGCCCGCTCAGGGCCCCTTTCCTCCATGCTCCCTCTCCTCCCTCCCACTTGATATCCTTTCTAAAGGAGCCCTGATGGGGTTTTCTTCTGGGTCCCCGGCAGTGTGCTCGCTTCGGCAGCACATATACTAAAATTGGGTCCCCGGCAGTTTTTCCTTGCAATCCCGTAATCCAGAAACTTGCCGCCCCCAAACCCCAAGGCAAAGGAGCACTGAGGTTGGGTCATCTGGAGAAGCAGTAGTACAGATGACCTCAGAAGCATGAAAAACAAAAACAAAAACAAATCATTATCAGTACATGGGACCCTATCACAGAGCAGGGGAATTTATGCTGCACGCCGTTTCCAAGGTTTGCCCTATGTAGAAAAGCAACCTTTCATACAATGGCCAGCCCGCCTTTGGCTTCCTCCTGGGTTGGGTGGGCTGGAGGAGTGGTCTTCGTCCAACGTTGGAGGGCTTGGAGACGTGCATGCACTGGGAAGACCATCTCTCCAGGAGTTTTCCTGGCCCTCTGGGGGGAGGTTCTAAGATGCTTCCTTGCAACTAGGAAAGTTTCTTGAAGGTGGGGGGTGGGTCTCCTCCCTGGCCAGGGTGTGGCGGGGGGTGGGCGCTAAGCCACCTCCAGAGGGCTGTTTTGGGTGTGTTGGGTGGGACTCAAGAGTAAGACTGGGCCGCCCCTGACCTCTGGGCATCCTTCCCTCTTGCAGGACCTGGGCATGGAGTCGACCTCTCTAGACGACGTTCTGTACCGCTACGCCAGCTTCAGGAACCTGGTGGACCCCATCACACACGACCTCATCATCAGCCTGGCCCGCTACATCCACTGCCCCAAGCCGGTAGGGCAGCCGTGGTCTGAGCCGGCCACCTCTAGGGGTGGGAGGTGGGCGCCTTTCTGGCCAGAGCAGCTAAGGGTCCAGGGAGGGCTGGTCGTTACTGCCCGGGGCCCAAGGAGGACAAACCAGTGGGGCCTGGGGTGCCCACCCTGTCCTAAGGCCCAGCATCCATGAGCCCAGGTTTTGTTTGACCTGTGGGGGTATTAAATCTGGACTCATCGCCAACATTTAGAACTCAAGACTATTTCACACATCTCTCCCTGTTCAGCTGCCCTTGAATAATGGGACGCTCCTGCAGCAGGGAGCCCTCATTTTATGGGACTGGAGCTGAGTAGCCACACCTGTGATGTGGGCGAGGACCGCCATGGACAGTTGTGTGCGTTGTACCTTGCACAAAGACAGGCACACGCCAAGGTGGCAGGAGACAGTTCAGTTCCAGCCCTCTCTCTGCCACCAACTCACAGGCACTGGCTCAAGCCTATGTCCATCTAGTGGTGGACCTCTTCCTGTTTGCACAAAGGCACCATGTAAATCTAGCAGTGACCCCACTTGGTGCTTTCCAGGGCCTCAGTCCTCAGCACTCCCAACGACCTTCCTCTCAAAGGCTGAATGTCATTTTACACACATCCCCCCACTTTGCTCATGCCCACGTCTGCCTGGCTTCCAGAGCTGAGAAGGGAGAGCTCCGAGGGCGGGTGATGCTTAGCCAACTTCCAGATGGGAGCGTCTGCCCCCCTCCTCACGGGGTGCCGGGCCAGCTTACCCAGCATGACCCCGGCAGGGAAGGGGAGGGCCAGTGTGGGGGCAGCTCCACTCTGGAGCGCTTCTCTCCCATCCCTCATTTTCCAGCAGCTTCCAAAAGAAGGGCTTCCTTTGTGACAGGGCCAGGAAGCCTAGAGCAGGACCCAGGAGTGCCTGAGGGTAGCTTTTGCTTCCAGAGTAGGATTGAGGAGAAGAGGGAGGGCATGCTGGTCAAACCCACCCTCCCTTGGTCTGAGCGCAGACTTGAGCACGGGCAACATTGTTCTGGAGCTGGGCCTCCATCCGGGCCTCTGTATGCAGACTTCTCTCTGGCTCCTGGGGCTGTCTGGGGCCAAGGTTCTGAGGTGAGGAGCGAGCTCTGAAGGGCGGGGGCAGCCGTTGGGGGAGGAGGGGTGTTGGGGCTGGTGGTGGGATGCAGCAGAAGGCAAGGATACGGGGCTCAAATAGGGGACATAAGAAAAAGCCGGTAAGGAGGGTTGGCAGGCTGGGAGCCTCGGGGCCTGGGGGAGAGGGGCTGGTGCTAGGAGCCGCAGGGGAACCAGCCGGGCTTGGAATCACCTTCCCTTCTCATTCCCATTCTACCTGGCTCAGCCTGGGGAAGCTGTGAGCAGGGTCTGTCCGAGGCCTCGCAGGTGCCAGACCTCTCTCTGCCTTTTCTGGACCGTGAATTCAAATGCCCCCAGGTGACGGGTGACCAATCACAGGGCACTTGGAACAGCTCAAGAGGAGGGATGTTATTTTTATGCCCATTTTGGAGTTGAGGAAGACCAAAGTCAGGTAATGAAGCAATCTGCTAAAAGGGACACAGGTGTGATTGGACCCAGTTCTGGGTTGGTTGCAGGCTGGTGCTCAGGCACCGGACCCCTGAGCTCCCAGTGCTTCCAGTGCTCCCAGTGCTCAGGGTGGGGCCAGGGGGGACTTGTGGGGCTGCATCTGGGCCGGAGGAGGAGGGCTTGCAGGTGGGTAACTGCCAGTGCAAACCACAGGACACGGGAGGTGCCCCAAGTGGTTCTGGGCTGAGCCCTGTCCCCTCCGTCTGGGTGGGGAGTACAGGGGCTGTACCTGGGGGGCTCTGAGCTCAGGCTGCTACAACACATTACCCCTGACTAGGTGGCTTAGAATCAACAGAATGGTATTGCTCACAGTTCTGGAAGCCAGAAGTCCAACATCAGGGTGCTGGCAAGGTCCGGTTCTGGCGAGAGCCCTCTTCCCGGTTTACAGACAGCTACCTTCTCATGGTGGCTTCATGTTGGCCAAAAGCAAGCCAGCCAGCTGTTCTCTTCTTCCAACCCTCATGACCTCATCTAATCCTACTCCCCCCCTAAAGGTCCTACCTCCAGACACCATCCCCCGGGGATGGGGTTCAACCTATGAGCTGGGAGGGTGGGAGACACAAACATTGCCGCCCACCCCCCCAAGCCCCCACTCCCCATCTCCCACCACCCCCCTCCAGCATGGGGTAGCTTTCTTAGGCCACTTCATTAGCTGAACTGAACTTTCCTCAACTCCAAAGGCACATAACAATACCGTCCCCTATAGAGCCGCGGCTGGGGGGTGGGGTTCAGTGAACTGATTCTCTCCAGAGTGTGCCTGGCAGGACTGAGCACCCTATACCCAGAAGCTAAGCTGTCCCTAGTCAGTGAGCACCCATCACGGGCCAAGCAGGGTGCTCAGACCCAGCAGGTCTGTGGTGGGACACTGAGGCAGGGATTGGGCTCAGAGTCTTGGAGAACAAGGGGACGGCCTGGGATTTCCTGATTTTCAGAGCAAGTCAGGGGTGTCAGCCTGGTCGGAGGCCCCGGGGCCTGGCTGGTTCCCCTAGCCATACCCAAGGCCATGTGGCCGGAGAGGCCCTTTGGAAGGGCTCTCCGGGTTGAGGTTGAGGCCAGGGCTGAAGGTCCTGGCTCTGGGACCCCGAAGCTGGTGATAAAGGCAGCCTCTGAGTGCACTCACCCCAAAACGTGAGCTGGCTCGGGGCTGCCCAGGACTTCCTGTTCTTAGATCTTTCATCTGAGAACTTCAGATCAGAGATGTCAAAACCATCAACCTCAAGGGGCCGCCTCCCTCAGTGGTGATGTGGGACAAAGGAAATAGCCCTTCCTTGTCCAGTCTCAGGGAGGGTCCACCAGACCACTAACCCCACGACTAAGATGACCCCCTCGAATGAGTCCCAACCTACCCAAAGCCCCCTCTGGTGTCCCACCTGGACATGGGCCTAGGCCTTAGATGGGGGTGGGACTGTGCGTGCCCTGAGAAGGAGGGGACAGGCAAAACCCCATCTCGCCCATGACTGTGTGTTGATTCATCCACAGCCCAGCTTCCAGCTCAAAACTCACCCACCTTTTGGACATTTCTGCCTGGGTGTCCCTGAGTCACCACCCCTCCCCCACCAAAAACATCACACCACCAGCACAGATTATGTCGCAGGCAAGTTCAGAGACCCCTTCCTCCCCTGGGCCCCAGTGCCAGACCCGCACATCCCGTCATGCCTCCCAGCCCTCTGTGCTCTGGGAGCAGCCAGGGAGCAATGTCCTACTTTCACTAAAGCCCAAACCCCATCCGTGGTTCCCCGCCCGAATCTCCTGTTTCATCCTCTCCACTCCGCTCACTCAGCGGCTCGGGCCACCTGGGCCTCCTCTCGGTTCCTGGAGCATTCAGATCTCTCCTGCCTCCAGGACCTTGCTGCCTCCGCCTCTGCCTGGCATCCCAGCTCCTCCATTCAGACTCAGCCTCTCCAGAACCTTCTGTGACCAGCCTCGTCATTGACACGGCTCCCCCGGTCACCCCATGCCCTGTTGAGGGCTTCATTTCTCTCACTGGTCTCCCAAGTTATCTGGCTTATCTCTTTGTCGCCTGACACACGGTTGGCCGTACCCCGTGAGAACAGTGGTATTGCCGAAGGGGGAGTAGATGGCATCTATCTTGTTCGCAGTGACATCTTGCATCAGGCAGGGCTTAGTACAAGCTGTGACCAGAGCCATGAGAGCTCCCTTCCCAGGACAATGCTGTGTCTTCTATTGCTGTGTAACAAATGACCCCAGAACTCCATGCTTTAAACGGTCCGCATTTATCCCTGGGCAGTCTCTACTGTGTGACTAGGTAATTCTAGCTTGGGGTCCCTCCAGACAGTGGCCAGGGCTCTAAGGATCTATAGGCAGGCCCCCTTCCGGGCTGGCCTACTCTTTGGCTGCTGGCAGGAGGCTTCAGTTTCTTGCCACGTGGGTCTTTCCATAGGACCGCTTGAGTTTTCTCTCAAGGGCAGCTGGCTTAGCCCAGAGCAGGTGATCTGAGAAAAGAACAAGGCAGACACCACAGTATCTTTTATGACCTTGCCACATTCTATGCATCACCCAGATCAACCCTGATGCAGAGCAGGAGATGATGGGAGGGGGCGGTGACAGGAGGCCAGGGTCCGTGGGGCACTCTTGGTATCTGGCTGCCTCACATCCTGAAGCTGGGAGGGAATGAGAGGAGGAAGGATCCTTCCTCCTGCTCTCTGGTCTCACTCCAATCGCTCTCACTGGCTGAACCCAACTGGAAGTCGGGGCAGGAAGCCCCGCGATGCTGTCTATAGCACTCAAGTCTCCCCATATCCGAAGCAGGATCCAGCTTGTGGAAGGAAGGACGGTCAATAGCTGAAGAATGGTTTTATGAATGAGTGAGGGAAGCCGTTGGCCGGCGCTAGTGGAGGGCTGTGCTTGTTTGGGGGCCTGGGGAAGCCAAGATGGCGGATGGGAGCCCCCATCGGACAGGCGACAGGTGGAGCAGTGTGGGGTGCTGTGGCCTTCCTGGAGGGGACTGCGGTCTGCCTTGAGCATCCTTCCTGACAAGTCAGCCAGAGTCCCTCAGGGTCCTCTCCACCCCCCTGGCTCCGGTCAGAGGCAATAGGAGGCCCCAGTGCTTCGGGACCCTCGCTCCACCCTGCAATGCCCAGCTACCCAAGACTTGCATCTTGCCCCTTCCTTCCTTCCTTGGGTGGCAGGAGGAGCTGTAGAATTAATTCCACAAACTGCCTTTGAGCCCCCGGTGTGGGTGAGGAGGGCTTTTTTGGCGCCTCAAGCTAGGAAAATAATTTGTCCTGATACCGAGGGCTCTCGTGGGGCCCAAAGACAGCCAAGCTTGGAAGGAGGGGCTAGAAGTACAGACGACACGCTGTGCAGACATCTCTCCACCCCTCCTCTGGGCTCCCCCAGGTCTCACTCTCCATTCCCGGGGGGCTGCCAGTCTACCTGTCGGTGTCCAGCCCTGGGAGCAGACGGGGGTGTGTCTCGTCGCCAGGAAAGAGCTGATTGGCTGCGCTCCGCCAGGGCCCGCTTCTGGACCAATCAGTTGCAGCGTGGGATGGGGTCTGGTTTCACAAAGGGGCTGCTGGGCCTCAGCACTTTGAGGAGCAGAGAGGGGCCTGCCCACCGCGGAGCGCCGGGTGCCGGGCGCACCGACCGGGTAACTTGTGGGGCAGGTGGTCACACTCCTCGGCCAAGGTTGCACAAGGGGCGCGTGGCTGCTGTTGCTGGAAACCACGCAGGAACGACACTTTCTCCTCCTCTGCCTCCTCCCTCCCCTTCCAGCCCCTGCCTTCCCCACCCTCTCCTTCTCCAGCTCTGAGTCCGTCCTGCTTTGTCCTCTTCTCCGCGGGAGGGAGACCTGGAGTTGGGGGGTGGGGGGACTAGATGGGCTTGCTTAAGGCTTTTGCGGGTGCAAATGATAGAAACACCTTGAACCCACCTAAGCAAATGATTTATCCCCGGGAGGGCAGCGCAGGGCGGGAGGGCAGGTTGGGAAGGATGCCAACCCCGGAGCCGGGCTTTGCGTCCTCATTCCATCTTACACGTTGTGGGGCTTGCCTGTCTAGTCAGCTTCTTTATGCCTCAATTCCCTCCTTTGTAAAGTGGGGGTGATAGTAGCCCCCGTTTCATAGGATCCTTGTGAGTTACAGGACCGTCATGAGCTCGTGCGCGCAGTGCGCAGAGGCGACGCCTAACCTAGTAGAAGCGCGGTAAATGTTAGCTGCTGTTTATGTAGCCCAGGCAGACGGAAGCGAGCTCTCCCTTCTACGACACCAGCCCACGCTGAGTCTCAAATCGCCTGTGAGGTGACCGTATCTGTTGTCCTTGTTGGTGAGGAAACAGGCTTGCTCAGTCTCCCGGGCGGGGAACCGCGACGGGCCATCAGCCCATTGCGGCGCCTTGCACACAGCTGCCCCCTTGTGGCAGCGCCGGCGCACTGAGGCGGCTGCTTTGCCGCCTTTCCCTCTTTGCTTCTTCCTTTCTCCGCCCAGCGGCTCAGGCCCAGAGGCTCAGGCTGGGAGGCTGACACCCCCCCGCCCCCCACGGAAGTGTTTGAAGGAGCAGCCGAAGCTTTGGAGCTCGGTGCTCATCTGTGGAGCAGGTGCCGCGGGAGAGTGGCAATGTTCTGGCCGCGGGGTGGTCCCAGGAGTGATGCCCGACCTACCACCCAATCCATCCCCAGCCCCGCCCCTCTGAAGAGTTTGCCCCGGTGCTTCTCCACCTTGGCGACACAGGAATCATATATGGAGCTTTTAAAAAAATCTCTGCATGCTGGGGCACCTGGGTGGCTCAGTGGTTAAGCCTTTGCCTTCGGTTCAGGTCATGATCTCAGGGTCCTGGGATCGAGCCCCGCATCGGGCTCTCTGCTCGGCAGGGGGCCTGCTCCCCTCCTCTCTCTCTGCCTGCCTCTCTGCCTACTTGTGATCTCTGTCTGTCCAATAAATAAATGAATGAAATCTTAAAAAAATAATTAAAAAAAAAATCTCTGCATGCAAGCTGCCCACTCCTGCTGGGGGTGGCCCAGGCAGGGTTTTTTAAAGCCCCTTGGTAATTCCAGGATGTGAGGACCCCAAGGGAAGAACCACAGCTCTCAAGGCGCCATCTCTGCTGTTGCCTGCCATCTTCTGTTTGGCCTCCAGAGTTGGCCTTCACTAGGGCCCCCACCATGACCGCCCCTCCGTGCGCCTCTTCTGGCCAAGGCCTCCTTGTCGGAGTCCCACCAACCCTTCTCCTTGGTGCCCATGGCTACACTGTGCCTTCTCCATCCCTTCCAGTCTGGTGTGTCCTCCCCCTGCCCCTTGCTTTCCGCCTCACCTCATTCCACAGCTGGAGGGTAAATCAGAGGCTGATGAGTGTGTCTTGAGCCACAGCCTCATAAATCCAGTTACATCTCCCAGGAGGGACTCACAGACCCCCTCAGACTCCACGTGGCGCCAAACGAGCACTCATTCCCCCCGTCTTGCTTTCTCATCCCCTTCTATCCCAGAGCCGCTTGCCTTCTACCCAGGTCCTAAGCCCAAAACCTGGATCCTTCCTCATCCCCGCCCTGCCCACACCCTCTCCATCCTGGGCACTGTTCAGTCTCCATCACTTTCAGGGCTTTCTGTAGGCCCGGCACAGAGGCCCCAAACTGCACAAAGCAGATGGACCTGGCCCCGAACCACTGTCTGTCAGAGGGACAGTCCCAAAATGCAAACACGATCCTGCTGTTCTCCCCCGATGGAGCCGCTGCCTGCCGCTCCGGCTTCCCATCACACACACCCAAATGCGGAGGCTTAGCAAGAAACAGTCTGGAATCAGAACACGGCAACCTAAACGTTGAGAGTGTAATCGCCTGAAGCGACAGGTGACGTTTGTCAGACAGGCAGGCTGGGGCAGGAGGAAGTGAGAACCAGAGACCAGAGACAGAGGTGCTGTCTACACTGATTCTCTTCCGTCTTGAGCCTCTGTCTCCTGGAGCCCTGCTCAGATGCTTTACCTCTTTGGATATTCAACATCCCCCTTTCCTGCCTCTTCTCTTGTCTCTTGCCTTCAGGGTCTTCTTTTCTTGCCTTTCCAACAGCTCCAGCCCTGCTTTCTATGCCTCAGTTTCCTCCTCTGTAAAATGGGGCTAATGAGAGCAGTTCTGCTCTGGGGTGTCGTGGGAATTCCATGAAGTCCTAGTGTAAGGTCCATGTGCAGCAAACCAGGTGACAGAAGATAGTGGCTTGGACCAAAGTGGTAGTTGTGGAGGTGGTGAGATGTGACCAGATCCCAGATTGTCACCTGCTCCCGTGCCTATAACACCCCTCAACCTCAAACCTTTGCACACATTTCCTCCTCACCCAGAGATGCCTCGTTCCCTCTCTCCATGCAAAAATCACGAACCCATCCACCCTGAAAACCCCAATGCACATCTGAGCCTGGGGAGGACTCCTCTTCCTCTACCCTGCCCGAGTTTTGCCTATCTACATTGCTCTTCTCATTTGGGACATTATTGACACAGTGAGCAAAACTGGAGAGCTGCCTGTGTCCTGAGCTATAGTCACAGCCCTGTGCAAATGGGGACTCATTTCATCCTTACAAAATGTCCCGTGCATTGGGTTCTATTATCCCTTCACAGAGGAGGACTGAAGGTCAAGTGACTTGCCCAAGGTCACAGAGGAGGTGGCAAAGCAAGGGTTGACATCCACACGGTTTGGCTCTGAGTCCATGCTTTTAAGTACTTAATAAGCTGCATCTCCATTAGCAGAATGTTGATGGTAACAACCTTCCACTGGCCTTTATTGAGTGCCCGCTGTGTGCCAGGCACTGGACATGGGCTCAAGGTTGAACTTCACTCACTCTTGGCCCCCCTCTCCCAGGGCTTGGTGACTGTCTATTGAGCTGACTTCCCTTGGGACAGAGGTGGTCTCTCTAGCGTCTCTCTAAACCCAATGTAAGTTTGTCAGGGCCGCCATAACAAAATACTATTTAAACAACAGAAATTCATTTCCTCATAGCTGTGAAGGCTACAAGCCCAAGATCAAGGTGTTGGCAGGGTTGATTTCTTCTGATTCCTCTCCTTGGCTTGAAGATGACCGGCTTCTCCAGGGTCCTCATGTGGTCTTTCCTCTGTGCATGTCTGTGACCTAATCCCTTTTCATGAAGACACCAGTCATGTTGGATTAGGGCCCACCCCAAATGACCTCATTTTAACAACTGAATTGCTCTGTGAGGCCCTATTTCCACATACAGTTGTAGTCTGAGATACCTGGGTTTAGGACTTAAATTTAAGAACTTTGGTGGGACACAATTCAGGACCTAATACCCAGGGTTTCTGGGGGTGCCTGGGTTGCTCAGTGGTTAAAGCCTCTGCCTTCGGCTCAGGTCATGGTCTCGGGGTCCTGGGATCAAGCCCCGCATCGGGCTCTCTGCTCAGCGGGGAGCCTGCTTCCCATTCTCTCTCTGCCTGCCTCTCTGCCTCCTTATGATCTCTGTCTGTCAAATAAATAAATAAAATCTTTTTAAAAAAATTAATACCCAGGGTTTCAAACTCAAATGCTGATGGGCTTGCAGCATCTCAATCAGTCAGTAGAGCATGGGACTCTTGTTCTCGGGTTGAAGCCCCACACTGGGTGTAGAACTTAGTTTTTTTAAAAAAAGTGCTGATGGGCCAGACTAGGATTACAGTAGACAAATGAATTGGGCTGGAAAGGACTTGGACACTCCTTGTTTATTTTCCTACTTTTGACATTTTCCCACGTGCACCATCATAAAAATATTTCCCTTTCTTTTTTTTTTAAGATTTTATTTATTTATTTGATAGAGAGAGAGATCACAAGTAGGCAGAGAGGCAGGCAGAGAGAGAGGGGGAAGCAGGCTCCCCGCCGAGCAGAGAGCCCGATGTGGGCTCGATTCCAGGACCCCGAGATCATGACCTGAGCCGAAAGCAGAGGCTTAACCCACTGAGCCACCCAGGCCCCTCCCCTTTCTTCTTTTTGCCTAGAACAATTGTCTGGTGCCTAGTAGGTGCTCAGTAAACCTTTGTTGAGCAAATGAGTGAGCAGAACAGCCCTGGCCACTGGGAAGAGGCAGGGACCATGATGAATACTGGCTAAACACTCAGCTCTGGTCAATTGTCAGATTGTGAATGTAGAGTTTTATGCAAATCTCCATTTTGCCATGATAGCAACTAATTCACAGCCATGTGCAGGTCAGTTTACAACCAACTGCTTTCTGCTTGGAGGCCCAGCAGGAAGAAGCCTCCCCCAGCTCATCCCTTGGAGAGGGGAAGCCGGAGGGGAGGGCCTGGTCTTTTGGGCCCTTGCCTGTGACTCAGGGCCTCCTGCCTGTGGTTGTCTCTGCAGGAAGGCGATGCGCTGGGCGCCATGGAGAAGCTATGCCGGCAGCTGACCTACCACCTGAGCCCCCACTCCCAGTGGAGGCGGCACCGAGGGCTGGTGAAGAGGAAGCCGCAGGCCTGGTGAGTCTGTTCCCTGGGGCAGACCTGCCCCTCCACCCTAGGCCTCCTTCCACAAGGGCAGCCTAGAGCAAACCCACACAAGGCTGGGCTCCTTGGGGCGATAGGGGGGGTGGCTGGAATCAGAGGGGTTGCTCTGGAAGGTGCCTGAATGAGTCAGGGTTGGGTGGGGAGAGCGGCCAGGAGGGCACTCCAGGTAGGCATGAGATATGAGGGGAACTGCCGGTGGGGCTCTCCCTGCTCTGTGGGATGGGAGCCAGCACACCACCATTCAGAAGGGGTGGGTGGGGAGGAAGACATGAGGAGTTTCTAATTCCTGCTGTGCCGAACGTGGGCACTCCCACTGGATCCCCCACTTTTGGATGTCTCCTGGGGGGGACCCAGGCTCTAGCCATGCCCCTGGGCCATGCAGCAGTGAGAAGCCTCGAGAGTTTTATGGCCCCCTGAAGACTGGGGGCTTGGGGCACATAGGCACAGAAGCCATGGGCGAGATAGCTAGCACCACTGGAAGCGAGTAAAGGAGAGCCAGGAAGTTAGGTTTTCTGGAGGGAGCACCCCTGCCTTTCTAGCAAATGACCATGGGGCAGAGTGGCTTGTGTGCTTCCCCTAGACTGGGCAGGGCCAGGACTGCCCTCCCTCACTGACAAGAGGTCTGGTTCCTCTTTCTCTTCTGGACTCTTCCACTCCAAAACCGGATTCCTTCCCAGGTGGAGGAAAAGAGAGTCAAGGATGGGGTTCCAGGTGGGCTTAAGTCAGAGCCTGTACATGGGGACAGAGCAGAGCAGGAGGACCCATGGGACCTGGAAGCCATGAGGAGTCTGTGACCTAGTTCTTTAGGATTGAAAAGCTCGAAATGTGACCTGGAATCCAGGAGCCTCCTCTTCTGTCTCCCCAACACAGCCGCTTGCTTTGTCCTTTCTTCATTTCAAAAGCCTCTCTCCCCACGTCACACGTCAAACGGGGTCCTCTGTGATGGGCGCTCGGCCCCTCTCTGGTCTCTCGCCTCCCATTTCCCCTCGCTGCAACCATGCTGCCTTCCTGCTGTCTCACAGACGCCTCAGGGACTTTGCCCATGCCCTCCCTCTGCTGGAACTTTTACGAGACCCTTCTGAGGGCCCACTTTTACTTCCAATGTCAGCTCGAATTACATCCTCAGAGAAGCCTTCCCTGAGTGGCCATGTCCAACCAAGCTCCTCTCACTTCCATCTCATTTGTTGTCTGTCTCCCCCGTCCCTGGTAGAGTGAAAACAGGGATCATGTCTGTCTTGTCCACGACTAGGACCTCAGTGTCTAGGACAGTGCCTGGCACATAATGGGAGTTTAAAAACACTTGCTGAAGGATTGGATGGGGTAGGGGATATTACTGTCGCCGTTTGGCCACAATCACCGAGCTGCTAAGTGGCAGGGCTGGCTTCAAACCCCAGGCCCAGGTTGTTAACCACATGCTCCCTATCTCCCAGGTGTAATGGGTCTGTGCTTTATTTTACCCTGAACAAACGGCAGGCAATGTTTCAAGCATTTAGAGGTCACACCCTGAGAGGCAAGATGAGACTGCAAGCCGCCTTCCAGCTTCAGATCTCAAGGATACATGTTTTGCCAAGAAGTCCAAGCCATGATCCTCGGGCTGCTCATATTGACATGTTTTTTTTTTCCTTTTTAAAGATTTTATTTGACACAGAGAGAGACAGAGAGGGAGATCACAAGTAGGCAGAGAGGCAGGCAGCTGAGTCCCCCCCTACCTTCCTCTCTTTCCCACTGTTGGGGTCCCAGGGCTTGCTTGGGGTACCTGGAAATGGGGGAGCTCTGGCCGCAGAGCAAGGTCCAGGAAGACAGAAGAGCAAGGAGTAGCAGACGGCAGGGGGTGAAAGCCCATACACAGCCCTGAGCCTCCAGGAGTCAGCACTACCCCCACCCCCAGGCTCAGAGACCCTGCGCCCTCCCCTGCCGCTGCCCTACAGGGCTCTCCCTAAGGATTCCCCATCGGGTGGGCGAGACGGTGTTCAAAGCGCTGCTCTTGGGAAAGCAGGAAGTTCAGTCTAAGTGATTCATAATGGCCACAGCAAATATTCACTCCTCTCTGGTACGTGAGCACTGTTCTAAATGCTCAGCATCCGGGGCGCCTGGGTGGCTCAGTGGGTTAAGCCGCTGCCTTCGGCTCAGGTCGTGATCTCAGAGTCCTGGGATCGAACCCCACATCGGGCTCTCTGCTCTCTAGGGGAGCCTGCTTCCTCCTCTCTCTCTGCCTGCCTGTGATCTGTCAAATAAATAAATAAAATCTTAAAAAAATAAAAAATAAATGCTCAGCATCCGTTACCTTATTTCACTTAATTCTGTGGTACTCAGCTCCATTGTTCAGGTAAGTGACTGAGGCACAGAGAAGTTAAGGGACCAGAGCTCACACGAGCAGGAAGAAGAGTTAAGATGCAAACCCAGGGGCACCTGGTGGCTCAGTGGGTTAAGCCTCTGCCTTCAGCTCAGGTCATGATCTCAGGATCCTGGGATCGAGCCCCGCATTGGGCTCTCTGCTTAGCAGGGAACCTGCTTCCCCCTCTCTGCCTATTGTGCTCTGTCAAATAAATAAAGTCTTTAAAAAAAAAAAAAAAAAAAAGATGCAAACCCAGGCACTATGGCCCCAGAATGTACCCTTAGTCACTGCAGAAGCCTCTGGGCCTTTCCCTGGAGTCCCTCAAGCTCTAGGCATCTGGGCCCAGCCAGGCTGAGATGTGAGGTATTGCCAGGGCACCAGAGGTCTTTGGTTTGTCCTGTCCCTGGAGCCGCAGGGTTGGGTGGTGGCCACTGCTGCCTCCGGGAGAAGGCCGGCCCCACTTGGTTGAACCTGACTTGTCCCTTCTTCCCTGCAGCCTCAAGGCTGTCCTGGCTGGGAGCCCTCCAGACAACACTGTGGACCTGTCCGGCATCCCGCTGACCTCCCGGGACCTGGAGCGGGTGACCAGCTACCTGCAGCGCTGCGGGGAGCAGGTGGACAGCGTAGAGCTGGGCTTCACGGGCCTCACTGACGACATGGTCCTGCAGCTGCTGCCCGCGCTCAGCGCGCTGCCCCGCCTCACCACGCTGGCGCTCAATGGCAACCGGCTGACCCGGGCCCTGCTGCGTGACCTCACTGACACCCTCAAGGACCCCAGCAAGTTCCCCAATGTCACGTGGATCGACCTGGGCAACAACGTGGACATCTTTTCATTGCCGCAGCCCTTCCTGCTCAGCCTGCGCAAGCGCTCCCCGAAGCAGGGCCACCTCCCCACCATCCTGGAGCTGGGCGAGGGCCCCTGCGGTGGGGAGGAGGCCCGGGATGGGACAGTAGACCAGGAGGACCCTGGGGGAGGCCCTCTGGATCCTGCCAAAGACCATGAGGGCAGGGAGACTGTAGGTACAGTTCAGACATGACACAGAAGTGGGGATCCTCACCAGGGAGTCCCGGTGGGGTAGGAGGACTGAGGCAGGCTAGGGGGCCCCCCACCAGCAGCCTCAGGTAATCACCCAAAATTGGCCTGGACAACCCCACTCACCGGAGCCAGACTGTAGCATCTGGGAAGGGGGCTGTGCAATACTGTTCCAGTCCTCTCACTTCCCCCTCTTGTCAACCTCCTCTGCCTTTTGGCTCCTGAGAAGTCATGTATGGCTCAAGTCCCCAGATTTGTGGGTGGTCTTGTATGGAGAGGAATGCTTGAGCTACTCTAGGTCAGAACTTAACCCCAGGCAGGGAGTGATATTCCCACCCTACATCTAACCCAGTATTTTGGGATGGAACCTTTTTCCCTGCCCTAACACCTGGCCAGGAGTCTGGAGTAGTGGCACTGACCAGCTCCCCAAAGACTCAAGAACCTAGTCCCCATCTGAGGTGGTGGTCTATCTCCTCCCTGTGAAGCCCTGAGGAACCACTTCTCAGTCTCAGCCTCCACTTGAGCCCACACCTCCCCCTGGGGTCCCAGGCCCTATCCCTGGGACCAGCCCGAGTACCCTTCAACAGACCATCCCAAGATGCCTACATACATGGCATATGCCCAAAAAACCCCCCAACCCAGACTACCAGACCTTCACTAAGGTTTCAGTGTTCCAAGTCAAGAGTACTTCCCTTGAAAAGGATTTTAAAAACCTTTTCCTGTTGCTTGTGGAGTCCCCCAGAAAGTCATCAGGGATACTAGGCTCACTCCCAAAAACCTTCTAATAAAAAACTCAAGACCATGAAAATGAGGTCAGACTTAACTTTTGGCAGATCTAGAGCCTCCCAGCAAGACAGCCAGGAGATGGGGCTGAACTGGGGGTTCCTTGAATGGTTCTCACATCTCCCCCTTAATACTACCAGCTAAAAATCCCTTCTAGGCACATTAAGCCCTAAAACCAAGGAAAAGACTTGAAGTTCAGGGATACTGGAGACCAACCTTCTTTTTAACCTGAGAAATTTACAGATGCCCATGGTGGTGAGCAGAGCACAGGCAAACAGCAGACAGTTGAGAAGCATGGCCTGTCAAGCCTCTAGCCCAGTGACAGGTAGGTGAGATCCCAATTCAGGAAGGCACCAAGACGGGCTACGTATAAAGCCACACTATGGGGACCCTGCCTGCCACTGCCCAGATGTTTGGACGAAGCACAGTGCAGAGCTTCGGGAGGTAGGCAGCTATGCAAAAGGACACAGCCCAAAGTGCTTTGGAACTTTTACCCTCCAAGTCTGAAGTTGTTAGAAGGGAAACAGCTTAGGCTGACCTTGGAGAAGGTACAAGTGCTAATACCTTGACTGCTAATGTGACAGCAGTGACCACTTTTTCTTCAAATACATGTTTTTAAAAACCAGTACTAAAGACCATCCTTTATTGCAGTTTGTGGTAATTGCACATAAGTATCAGTTTCAGAAGAAATATGTTTGCATCTTAAAGAACTCAGACCCTTACCCAACAGAACAAATTCATACAGTATTTAAAACTATAGAAGCTCTCTGGGTAGGAAAGATAAAAATACAGTATTTATAGTACATTACTAGAAAACTCAAGAATTCAATGACACCAACAGTGCTTACCCTACAGTTTGCCAAACACACTTGTTGGCTCTGCTTTTAAGATTAAGAGCCAAAAAGAGTTGGTTCACTTTTAAGAGAACAGACTCCGCATCTCAGCACAAGGTAAGCACGGTTTCCACACCAACTGTTGAAGCCTGGGTTTTCAGTCCGAACTGATGGTGACCACAGGACCCTGAACTGCTGCAGCATGGCTGACCATTCTCTGCAAAGACGGACTGCAAAGAAACTAAGTATCAGTCTCACTTCCTGCTCCAACCAACAGTTATTCAGTGTAAAAAAGGTATCTTCAGAAACCATACATTCACCACTACACAATCTGCCGGTAATTCCAGCTATTTTGGGTGATTTCATCATTTGATATCCTTTTTCTGAGAATCTCTTTTAACAACACTAGCCGTTTATTCATTCTACCACGGGGGAGGGGTCCTTGTCCTTGGAAGCTTACCTCTCTCCTTGGGCTGAGCTGCAGCCGCCACCAGCTTTCAAACTCCACACCGCGATCACCGTTCTTCAGCACACAAAACCCAGAGGGGAATGAACCGAGGCATCCCTAGTCAGGCAGCAGGTAACAAAGGCAGAGAAAAGAGTTTTGCTCATGAAGAGCCTCAACTACAAATCCCAGCCCATCCTAACGGCAGCCCTTAAGAACCCACTGGAGGTGTTTTTTCGTTCATGAAGCCATGTGAAGTCTGTAAGTCCTAACTGGCTTTTCTGGGTGTTGCAACCTCATTTCATCCCATCATTTTAACCCCACACACCTACGCGGTCATCTCCAGGGACCGAGGAAAGCTACATCTCAGTAGACAGGCAACTGGGACAGCATTTTAGAGCAGTGAGCTAACAGAAACTCCCGGCTTTCCTCTGCCCTCTGCTCCACTGCCACTATGAACCGTATCTGTATCTCCAGGATACGCTCAATGAAGGTCAAGGGCTACAGTAATACAAGGTTATTAGGTTAGCCGGATAAAAGTGCCACTACCCGACCTAACCGGAAGGTCACATCATCTAACGGCCGGCCATGCAAACTGTTCCACAGACCGAAGCTTACCTTAACGGCAGGCCAGTGCTCCTCCCTCGAACACTCAGCAGCTGGTCTCGATCTGATCACACACCGGTGACCCCGCAGCACTCATGTGCAACCTGGGTGAACAGACGAGAAAAGGTCACTGTCCAAACCAGACCAACTTACTCCAGGGCGGCGGCAGCTGGGCAGGACTTGTTGACCGCAGTCAGCCAGGAACGTTATCGTCAGTTATCGCTTCTGACGGCACTTCCTATAGATGATTTCATCAGAGCAGTCAACATCTCCCTGCTCCCCAGCACCGCTCCCGACACCTGAACGGAACCTAGAACTCAGCCCTGATTGCTTGAGGAACCACGGGGGCACTGGCCGCTTTAAACCAAGCATTTTAACGGAATTCACCTCTGGCGACAGCTGTGGTAGAACAGCTCAGGGTCAGCAGCCGCGCCCTGCCATTGCCACTCCAAGCGCCAGGCTACGTGTGCAGTGCAGAGGGGCACAATTACTGCCCAATTCATCAACCGTGAAGGGGCAGCCAATGCCGGTGCACTCAGACCAACGAACACGGAAAAGCGACGTTAGGGGTTGGCGTAAGTCCTGCCCACACTGGGTCCTACCTCCGGGTGGGAGACCGCTCCTGGCCTGAAGGCGCTGCAAGGGATGTGCCACCTGGAACACGGGAGGGCGACAGGCGTTAAGGGCACGTAGTTAAAGTGCTGTTCAACCCGACCGTTGAGGCTTCCGCGACCACGGTCAGACAAGCATCAGAGTCGTCAATTATCGCTTCTGACGGCACTTCCTAACCCCAGGATCATCAGCACCGTCGGGCAAGCCCTCCTCGATGTCCCATGCCCCACGCTCCCCCGGGCCGCGCCTACCCAGTCCTCCCGGGTTGGCGCACCTCCCACGCCCCGTCCGGGGAGCAGGGAACCGGCCTTCGGGGACCTCGGGCTCCGGAGTCGACGGCGGCAGCGGCCCTGCTGGAAACACGCGCGCGGGCCTTGAGCCTCAGTCCCCGGCAGCCCTGCCTGACTCTCCCCAACCGCCGCGCCCGCCCCGAAACCCGGAGACGCGCCATAGGGAGCCGCCCTGCGCCCCCCACAGAAGCTTCCCGAAAACAACTTCTCAGAAATTAAGAAACCTTTAGCTCCTTCGCCCTCGCCGCCAGCTACTAGGCCCAATCACACACACCACCCACCTCCATTTTCACCGTACGGAAAAGATCGTCTCTTTTGCGGCCTGGGCCTTTAAGGAGTCGGAATATTCCATTCTTCACAGAAGGGAGGGTAATACTGGCAGAGACTCACGGGAACTTCCAGCTCATTTCACGATGCAGACTCCGTCTCACCACCCGGTGACACCCCCCTCCGTTAGAGCCTATGGTCTCTTCCACGTCCCCGGGAATTCTGGGTCCCGCGGCGCCCGGGGTGTTCAGGGCGCATGCGCGGGGGCTGGAGCGTACCTCCTTATCTCCGTGGTGTGGAGGACATTTCTCAGCCTGTGTGAGCTTCCGATGGCTCGTGTGGTAAATGAAGCTGTCGGCACCGCAGAGGCTGTTCTGAGGATCACATGACATACCACGCTTGAAACCCTGCGGAGCCTTGGCAGGCAACAAGCATTCATAAAATAGTAGCTGCTTCTCATTCTTCGGGCTGCCTGTCTGCTCTCTCCCCACGGCCATTGCCGAATATCCGCGGAGCCTTTCAGAACGCCTGCGCGCCGACAGCTCGCATCACTCCCCTTGAGAATGACCTCTAAGGAGCGAGCAGACGTGTCTTAGCTGAAACCGCTTCCATCCCCTCCGCCCCTTCTTTCCTGATTCCTTAGGACTCCTGCATCCGTTCCCCAACCCACCAGCGATGGAAACCTCTCCCACTCCACGAATGCTTTCCTTTCAGCCGTTGCACATGCTCCGGCCTCTGCCACTTAAAAGCCATTCAGTGCAATCGCATTTTATAAACGCTCATTACTCTGAGGGAGAGCAGTTCGTCCGGACGAGAAAACTGGAAAAGCTATCGCGAGACAACTTTCTGGTCTTAGAATTTTAAGGATTTTAACGGTGGGGCGGGGGCTTCCAGCAAAAGCCAAGTCAGGGGGTTAAATAAACGGGTTCCTCGGTCTGCCTGAAGAATTTGGTAAAGGTTCTAAGGAGAGCCTGGGGGGCAGCAAGGGTATCGGGGAAGAGGTGTCTGGAAATTCGGGGTCAAAACCGTGGAGGACTTGGGGAGGCCAGCTAGGGCGTCCTGTGGGCATTGAAGGAGCCTCTTAAGCCTTCAGGGCACAGAAACACCCTAAGATGTTTCTCTTTCTCTTCCATCTTAGGAAGGCCCCTCTGCCTGCCCTGCAGTACAGCTTGGAGGGGTAGGAACTGAGCAGGCAGCCCAGAAGAGAAAGAAGCTAATAATCCAGGGCCTGAAGGAAGCCATGGAGCTCAAAAGCTTTGAGAGAGATCTTGGAGGTGGCTTTAAGGGATGTCCGGAAGCTATGGGAGAGGAAGGAGTGGTGGCTGTGTTTCCTGTGTCTATCACCGCATATCTGTCATGACAGCGGGCACAGCACCCAAGAAAAGGACCACCCTGAGGCTGGGAGCCAGCAGGGAAGGGTCCCCTGTGCCTGAGTGAGGCTGAGAGTAGCCCAGCCCCAGACAGAGAAATGCTCACCGAGACGTGCAGATTGTCAACCAGCCCAAGAGCCCATGAACTTCACTTAAATAATGTTTCCAGGAGAGTTAGTGATGAGAAAATATTTATTTACATTTGCTACCGAAGTTCCCTGGGGGCCCAGAGCCACCAGGTAGGGCTGGGAAGGTCCCCTGACTCTGTCCCGAATCTGGGCCATTACTGGGACTTTAAGAGCTGGAGTGGCAGCTGATCTTCCTCTGAGGCAGTGTCCTCCTCTACTTGGGAGGCTGGGGCTGGATTCTTCAAGGTGCCTGTAAATAGGATGGAGAGCGCTGTGGCTTGGCCCTTGGGCTGTGTCCCCAGGAGGACAAACAGGAGGCGGCCACAGCCATGAAAGCACATCCTCTGTGTACAGCGGGTAATCCCGAAGTCCCCAACAATCCCTCTCTCTACCTCCCCCTTCCATAAGCATTTCCTGAACCCCAGCTTGGTGCCAGTTGGGGGCTTCCTCCCAGAAGTTCAACATTCCTGGTGGTAGAAACCAGGACACCTGAGACTTGCTGAAGAGCTGGAGGGAAGTGAGAAGTAGGTGTTCAGGGAGCTCTGAGGGAACCCAAGCTGTAAGGAAGACAGCAGATTTGGACACCCAGAGGAGCGGGAATGACACTTCCACAGAGAGCCAGGGAAAGCAAAGAACAGGGAGCACCATGGAGGGACCAGCTGTCGCATGGAGGGAGGTGTTGGAAATGGGCGGGATTATAGCACTGGATCTTCACCTCCGCACTGAGGAGTCAGTCCTTCCTGGCAGTGGGAGGCATGGAGTGTGGGCCTCGTGTAGTTTCTGTCTGCCTCAGAGAGAGAAGCCCAGAGCAGAAAGACTTGTCTAAAGGAGAGGGTGCAGCCCTGAGCCCAGCAGTGGTGCAGAAGGGGGAGAAATGAGGGGTGGGGGCAGAGGGGTGAGTGGCTGCCTGGGAGGGGGACATTGAACAGAGATCTTCAAGGCCTCCTGCCTGGGTGAGGAGGTGTGGGATTGCACACACACTACCTGGTAGGATAACCCCACGGTCGTTCCTATTGGGAATTTCCAGTTGGAAGCTCCAGCTGGCAGTGGGTATGGGATTGGGGTGTGGAATTCTTGGGGCAAGATGAGGGGCAAGGTGACTTTCAGAGTCTCAGCATTAAAGTGACAGAGTGGCAGGACTCAGGGGAAGGGAGACAAAAAGAAGGCAGGCAGAAAACCTGTGGGTTTGTGAGGGCCATGGTCATCTGGTCACTAGGGACCCAGGAGCCTGGGAGACCAGCAGGCTTTGGAGCCAGAGTCTGGAGGAGTACCCCCTATGCAGGGGTCAGAGGTGATGCAGGTGCTGTTGTGGGGATGGTTTGAAGTGGGAGCTACTGAAGATTCCAGAAAGGACATACTGTGGAGAAAGTTAAGCCTCAGAACAGGCCTCAGGGTAGAGACAGGAGGGGCTGTCCCCACACTAGAATGGACAGGACGCAGGCCACGACAGTGGGGGAGAAGCACCAGAAGTGACTTCTCAGGGCTATGGGGGCTGGGGGCTCCTGTAGCCAGGGAAAGCTGGGGATCAACAAGCCTGGCCTATGAGTGGGGGCTCTGGGAGATGCCCCCAAAGCTGCGGGATAGGTAGGGGGCCCTCTCTAACCTGCTCCCCGGCTGGGTCCCCAGGCTCAGCCCAAGGCTGGCGCTGGAGGGCCCGCTGAATAGGCCCAGAGGCAGGAGGTGCGGGCAGGTTTAGGGCTGGAGGGGGAAGCACCAACAGCCTCAGAGTGTCTCCCAGGTGACCGCCTGAAACAGGCCAGTAAGGAGGTGGGAGTGGAGAGGAAAGGTGGGAAGTGCTCCTTAGTGGGGCAAGCCTTGGACACGGGGGAGGTCCTGGCCTAGACTCTCCATGGCTGTGTGGCTGAGCAGACTCTCTCTGTCTCTCTCTCTCCAGGACAGGACTCCGGCCACCGCCGCTACTCACCAGGGACTGCTGGCCCTGAGGGCTCCTCACAAAGGGACGGCAGTGTCTGCTCCCACGAGGCCCAGTTCACCTCCTCCACCCTGAGGGCCACAGAGCAGCTTTGAGGCTCCAGGAAGCCACCTGTGCCACACGCTCCGCCCCAGGAGAGGGGCGCTCGGAGACACAGGGTAGACACGGGGACTGGGAGGAGGATGGGCTTTGGCCACCCCTTCTCCCCAGACACTGAGCCACCCACCATCCCGCTGTCCAGTTGCCACCAGGCTCTCTTTCCCGTGGAAGACTTTGTTTTCCGTGGGAGGGTTGTCGCCTCTGTGGTCAAGCTGGGAGAGTCGGCAGGCAGACCAGCCGGGGCAAGGCTACTGTGCTGTAACCTGAGGGTCCCTCTGGCTTCCTGGCCTCCTAACTGTTCCCCATTTCAGGCCACGGAGTAGGTCAGGAACAGCCAGAGAGGGGACAGGCGGTAAGTGGCGGGCCTGGGCCTCTGAGATCCAGCATCCCTGACCTCGCCTGCCTGGGGCAGAGTGCCTGGTGCTCCTAGGCCCTGCCTTTCCCACCAGACCTGACTCCTGGCAGCTGTCCCCTGGCTTTTAAGAGGGTACGGCTGAAGAAAAATAAAAGAGAGAGTAAGGCTGGGGGCGCCAGTCAGAAGAGCATGTGACTCTTGATCTCCCAGTCATGAGTTCGAGCTCCACACTGGGTACAGAGATTACTAAATAAAAAATTTTTTAAAAAGAGTAAGGCTGGGGGCACCTGGGTGGCTCAGTGGGTTAAGCCTCTGCCTTTGGCTCAGGTTTTGATCTCAGGGTCCTGGGATCGAGCCCCGCATCAGGCACTCTGCTCGGTAGGGGGGCTGCTTCCCCCTCTCTCTCTGCCTGCCTCTCTGCCTACGTGTGATCTCTGTCTGTCAAATTAAAATAAATAAATAAATAAAGAGTAAGGCTGGCCTGCCCCACAGCAACCTCCAGGGATCACGGGGCAGCAAGGCCCCAGGCCGCCTGCCCCTCACCTGCCTCCTTCCCTCACCTGAAGCACCAGCGCTCATCGGGGCTGCCATCCGGCCTGGTGCCAACGGTCAACTTCACACCAGCCCGCTGCTTCTTCCTCCTGCACCACCAGTAGCCATTCTCCATCTCCAGGACGGAGATGGCTTTCTGCGGACAAAGGACACATGAGACAGTAGCCAGGAGGATACCTCATAGCACTTGACAGTATAACCCCGGGTCTGCTACACAGGTGGATATGAGTCTAGCTCCAACATTTGATTACCTGAGGGATGGAAGCCCCCTCAGGACCCCCTCCCCCAATCTCAGTTTCCACACTTGCAGGTGGACAGGTGTCGAGAAGTCAGCCCATAATGCATGCTCAACAATGACTTGGAGAGTTACAGATTCCAGAATTCCACACCATGAGGTGCAGGAGCTTGTCTGCTCTGCCCACATGGAGTCTGCCCCCTGGCACAGGAGGGAATTAGGTGGGGCATGGAACTTGTGGGTGAGGACGCTGGCTCAGAGAAGTAAGGGGCTTGCCCAAGGTCAACGGTGAATCAGTAAGAGTCCAGCTTCCCAGCAAGGCTCTCGGAGTACCAACTGCCCGCCCGCACCCCCACCCTTCTCTGGAGAAGAAGCAGCTACTGCTTTCAAGGTAGGCGGGTGTCACATCAGCCCCCAACTACAGGGGCCTCTGCGCCCCGACTCCCGCAGACTGGCCCGTCCCAGGACTGCAAGTCCTGCCTCACCCACCAAGCCAACCCCACCAACGGTATGAGAAACACAGAAGGTGAGCTACATGAGGGCAAGGATTTGATCTCATTCTCTGCCGTGTGGTTCGCATGTAGAACCGAGCCGAGCCTCACGGTAGGCTCTCGAGAAGTCCTTGATCATGATCAAGATCACAATCCTGATTAACACATGGAGCCCCCACTAGGTGCCAGGCACCATCCCAAGGGCTCTAGATCTGTGAGCTTTCTCAATCCTCACAACAGCCCCCGGAAGGAAAGCGTGGGTGAGAGGGGCCCAGACCGCAGGCCGTCGGGGAGGGGAGCCGCCCTCAGCACCTGCAGCTTCCAGATGCTCCAGCTGTCAGAGGCGACACTGTTGACGGTCTCGCTCATGAGGGCGATGAGCATGTTGAGCAGCAGGATGTAGGTGAGCAGCACATAGGCCAGCAGCAGCAGGAGCACGACCCCGCGGAAGCGCAGCTGGTCCTGGAAGGCCAGCTCACCCATGCCGATCGTGAACTTGAACAGCTCCAAGGAAGCGTCCAGGATGCCGCCGTATGGGGTGGAGCTGCCCTCCTCCTCCGTCCCTCCTGCCCCAGGCTGTGCTGCTGCCTCCGTGGCATTGGGGCCCCTGGGGCCCCTGGGGTCCTGGGCTTCCCGGCTCAGGCTCACCAGGGCTGCAGGAGGGAGGAAGGGGGGATCCTCAGCCTGGGGAGGCCAGGGGCAGCCTCCAGGGCATACGGACCGGGCAAGGGCTGGGCAGGGACTAGAGGGGCGCCTTTACCTACAGCGAAGCCAAAAAGGAAGACTAAATAGACGAGCAGGAAGCGGAGCAGGTCCCGCAGGATGACCTAGAACACACGCGTGCATCCAGGAGTCAGAGCGGGGGACTAGGCTGTTGGGCCCGACCCCTGACCCCTGCCGCGGCCCACACCACCCACATGCACAAAGGTGTGCATACACAAGGCCTCAAGGAGCCACATGGAGTAGACAAGTCTTTAAAGAAACCTTTAAAGTGGCTCAGTGGGTTAAGCCTCTGCCTTTGGCTCCGGTCCATGATCTCAGGGTCCTGGGATTGAGCCCCGAATCGGGCTCTCTGCTCAGCAGGGAGCCTGCTTCCCCCTGTCTCTCTGCCTGCCTCTCTGCCTACCTGTGAACTCTCTCTATCTCTCTCTCTCTGTCAAATAAATAAATAAATAATCTTAAAAAAATAAAAACGATATCTAATCAGGGGTGCCTGGGCGGCTCAGTCAGTTAGGTGTCCAACTCTGGATTTCAACTCAGGGTCATGAGATCGAGCCCCCAGTCTGCTTAAGATTCTCTCTCTCCCTCTGCCCCCTCCCACTCAGTGTCTCTCTCAAAAAACCCCCCCCCAAACCATAGAGCAATATGTAATCTTCTCATCTGTCTCTGAGTGTTTTCACTTCCCCTACCACAATGTGCCCTGCAGCAGGGCTGACGAGTTACCCATTTTGTTAGCGACCAAAGGAGCATATTCCAATGCTTAGAACAGGGCCTGGCCCACAGGGCACACATCCCAAACTTTTGCTGATTACGTAAATGGATGCAGAAAAGTCCACGGGCCCAGATGTTCCAGGACACAGGCATGCAGACGAGCTCCTGTGTACCGTGTCTGCCCCTGGGCTGTGCAGAGATGCACGTCCTCCCCGGGGGTCATGTGTTTGCTTACCCGTGCAGAGCACTGACCCCTGAGGGCAGGTGCCTGCACACTCATGCTCCGGCTTGCACTCCGAGAGCGCCTGGCCAGGTGAGCCGTGGAGGAGAGCGCCTGTCCGATGAGGCCCAGAGGAGCCCTGCTGGAGGGTGGTGCCCAACTTTGCCTGGTCAGGCTACTCCAGGGCCACCCCCATCTCTCACCTTCTGGATCATGACACTGTAGATGCCTGTGTGTTGCAAGCCACGTGTATAGTAAAGCAGGTTGAGCCAGCCCAGCACCAGCGAGGACACAAGCAGAGGCAGGTACCACTCCACGGCCAGGAAGCACAGCACCTGGGACAGCACCGTGAGCAGGGCCTGGACCAGGCTGTGCAGGGAGAATCTGGGTCAGTTTGCAGGCTGACCCCTGGCAAGGCTCCCCCTGACCCCCACTGGCCAGCGCTGACCACCGCTGCCTCTCCCGCCACCTCCTGATGGATGGGAAGGCCTCCATCTGTCTGGGACCGGACCCCATCAGGTGCAGAGCGAGCACTCAGTACAGGGAACTCTCAGGGATGGGAGCGGGAGGGCACTGGAGCCCCAGGCCAGACAGCCTGCACTTTGGTCCCGGGCCCCTGGCACTCCCTGATGCCGGGTCCCCTCCTCTCAAGCCAGCCTGGAGCCCTTCTGCCACACCAGCCTCTCCGGGGCCTGAGACAGGGGAGGGGAGGGAGGACCCACATACAACAGCAGCTCAAAGTAGCTGTCCACGAAGGAGATCCAGATGAAGAGACGGCGCCTCCAGAAATACCACAGCTGTGGGAAAAGGGGCACAGGGCGTGTGAAGTTTGCTCCCCAGGCCACCGAGCACCGAGCAGCCCTGCTGCCCCACTGGGGGGGTCTAAGCCCGGGCTCCCCACTGTGCCCCCTGCCTGTGGGCCTGGCTCTGCGACCTCAGGGGCTCAAGCAGCCTCTTGGACTCTGGGTTGGGGGGAGTGTGGAACTCATAAATCCTGCTGACCCCTGAGAGAGCTTTGAAGCCTGTTTCCAGAATGTGTCCCCCCCTCCCCACAGACTCCCAGACAACGCCAGGGGCCTCTTAGCTCCCCATGGATCCTGATGAAGAACTCGCTCACTACTCCTGGTGAGGGGAAGAGCTCCCTCTCCTCCCCTCCCCTAGTCTCACAGGGACCCCCCCTGGATGCCAGCCCACCTGAATCTGGTCCCCAACTACTGCCCACACTGAGGCTCAGTTTCTCCTCAAAAAGCCCTGCTGGCGGAGTCGACCTGAGCCTGCCTGCCCCATCCTGTCTGTGGTTCCCACGTGAGGAAGGAACGGCCCAGCCAAGGGACCTGGGGACGGGGGCTTCCAGCCACGTTCTTTGGGGAGCAGAGTTGGCAGGGCCCGAGGAATCACAGAGGCCATGTGCTACCCCACAGGCACCCCAGAAAGCGCAGCAGGGAGGTGCCAGCCCCAGAACCCAAGGCCCTCAGCTGCCCTGAGGCTGGTAGGGGCGGGACTGGGTAGAGGATTCGGTTTCTGTGGTTTTCAGGGAATGAAGGGATTGTGGTTAACTCCCTGGAAGGCCCCTCCTGGTGGGAATTCTACATTTGCTTCTGGGTGGTCCGGGAGCCCATAGAGTTGCGAGTCATGGGGTGGGGGCCGGGGGGGGGGGGGATGGGAAGAGCCCTCACCTGGCCCACGAGGATATAGACGCCCCCAAGCAGAATCAGGATGTGGCCAAACAGCAGCAGGGAGTCTCTAGCAGTCACTTCCTGGGGGAAGAAGGCCTGCGGAGGAGACAGTCTGGTAGGACCTGGGGCCTGGAGTCCCCTGCCAACAGGGAGACTCTCAGCTGAGGGCCGGATCTGAGCACGAGCTGTGGAGAGACCACGCAGAGCAGCACAAAGAGCACGGGCTCAGCGGCAGGACCCCCACCCCCACCCCGGATTCTAGCCTGTCATAGAGACACACTGATGTGGTTTTGAGGGTGGGGTCTGGCGCCAGACTGCCCAGGTTCAAATCCCAACCCCCGCACTTACAGCCTGTGTGACCCTGGGTAAGTTACTTCACCTCTCTATGCGTCCCTTCCCTCAACTGTAAACTGGAGATGGTAACAGCTGTCACCTCAGAGGGTTGTTGTGAGCAATGATTAAGTCAGTTAACACAAGTCACTTCCTTAGAATACCGTCTCCCATATGGCGAGCCCTGGGCCAGTATCCTTGTTTTCCCCACGGTGTGGGCTTCCATACCGTTACCCGCTGAGGCCGAGCCCGGGCTTATCACTCAAGCCGTCACAGCCTCGGTGTGAGGATCTGCAGACAGGGCTGGCCACCCCACCCTCCACCATCATCCTCCAGGGTCGCTCCCAGGAGGCCTCCCCCAGAATGTGCCCCTCCCGGGCCTTGCCTTCTCCAGAGCCGGCTGGTGGTAGGCAACCAAGGTGAAGAGGACCGTGTAGATCAAGTAACACAGGAAGTTGAAGAAGAATTTGGGGATTAGCAGATCCCACTTCGCCTGCAACAGCTTGTTCAGTGGCTCTAAAATCACCATTCGGTGCCGGTCCTGGGGATGGGAATGCGAAAGCAAGGGTCAGGCTCAGGTCAGGCTCAATGCAAGGGCTGAGGGAAATGGAGGTGGGGTGGGGGGGGCAAATGAGCCCTCCCCACCGACCTCCACCCCACCCACATGGCTATGGGTTGACGGAGCGCCTCATCCTCCAGCCCCAAGCAGGGGCCAGTCAACAGGCCGCCCGTGGTTGCCCCCAGGCCCCCAGCCTGCTCCACACAGGTCAGGTGGGACTGGGGTGTGGAAGGAGTATGGGGGGGGCACATCCCCACTGGCACAGTCCCAGGGCAGCTTTGGTCCCGCGGGCAGCCCTGACGTGTGGACCTTGCAGGGAGCTGGGCCAGGTCCCCTTACGCACACCCCTGCCCCCCTGGGCTCACCGGGCTTCTGCAATGAAAGGCAATGATCTCCAGCACTGAGTTCTCCTCCCAGCTGTCCACAGAGGCCAGGTCATACAATGACACCCGGACTGGCCCGTAGCACCACTCCGTAAACTTGCGAGAAAGTGACTGGCACGGCTCTGGGAACTCCCGCTGCAAGATGTGCCTGAAAATCTGCAGTGGGGATGGGGGCACATGAGCTTGGCCTGCATGGCTACCTCCTAGCACTGACCTTGGGTAGGGAGAAAGGGTGGCTGGGAAACACTCAGCGCCCCGCAGAGCTGCCCACCACCTGCAGAGCTGCACGCAGACACACACACACACCCGGACACACGGGTCCTTGTGCGTATGATTGCTCACACATCCCACATGTTCAGCCACGATATAAACACTCCCGTCCATTCACATATGTCCAGGTCTAAGGGAACCTGGCTCTTCCTTCCCCACTCCTGTCCCGAGGCCTCTTTCCTGGACCCCCTACTGGCAGAGGGACCACCAGCCCAGGGCTCCGGGAGGCCCCCTGAGATATGAGCTACACAGATGTGTACACTTCTGTGGTCAGAGCTCAGAGCTTCCAACATACTAGAAAGCATCCCTAAGTTGAACAGGTTAAGAAGCATTTTGGTTTTGGCGTGCCTGGCTGACTCAGTTGGTGAAGCATGTGGCCTTTGATCTCGGGTCATGAGTTCGAGCCCCATGCTGGGTGTAGAGATTACTTAAAAAAGAAGAAGAAGCCAGGCACCTCGATGGCTCAGTCGGCTGGACATCTGAGTTTGGCTCAAGTGATGATCTCAGGGTCCTGGGATTGAGTCCCGCATCAGGCTCCCTGTTCAACGAGGAGTCTGCTTCTCCCTTTCCCTCTGCCCCTCCCCCTTGCTCATTTTCTCTTTCTCAAATAAATAAATAAAAATCTTTAAAAAAAAGAGAGAGATAGAAAAGCAACTTGGTTTTACAAATGAGGAATGGGGAAAGGAAAGGCCACCCAGCCATGCCTCTGGACAACAAAGGGAGGTTCCCTTTGGAACCCAGGTTCCCCAAAAACCTTGGGGAATAAAATAGTAAAACTCCCATTTATGTTTTTTTAATCTTAACCCTTAAAAAGGCCTGTGTTTGAAGCATGGGGCCCTGTGTAAAAGGAACAGGTTGCCCACCGTGAAGCCCCGCTGATAATTAGGCTCAGACAACCTTCTGGTTGTCATTTGAAAAAAAAGTAGAGCTGAGTCATGCTTCCTTTTTATACCAAAATGACTTCCAGACAAATCAGTTTTAGGCATTAAAAATAAAACTGCAAAGTCTGGAGGAAAATATGGATACAGAATATATATGTATACGGACACACACAAGCTTTTATATATATACATGTATATATTATATATATATATATATATATACACACACACACACACACACACACACACACACAGCCTTATAGAAGGTATTAAACAGTACCAAAACCAAGGAATTCTAAAGGAAAAGATAATTAGAATTGTGTATATATAGGAAAATGTAAAAATTCTGCAGGGCAAAAATCCCAAAAGAAATGCTTTTATGGGGCACCTGGGTGGCTCAGTCGGTTGAGCGGCTGCCTTCGGCTCAGGTCATGATCCCAGCATCCTGGGATCGAGTCCCACATCGGGCTTCTTGCTCCACGGGGAGCCTGCTTCTCCCTCTGCCTGCCTCTCTGCCTCCCTGTACTCTCTCTATCTCTCTGACAAATAAATAAATAAAATCTTAAAAAAAAGAAAAGAAAAGAAATGCTTTTATGGGGTGCCTGGGTGGCTCAGTTGGTTAAGTGGCCGGCTTTTGGTTTCAGCTTGGGTCATGATCTCAGGGTCCTGGGATCAAGCCCTGCTTCTGGCTCTGTGTTCAGCAGCAGCAAGGAATCTGCTTGAGATTCTCTCTCTCCCTCTCCCTCTGCCCCTCCCCGCTGCTCTCTTTTTCTTAAATAAATAAATCTTTAAAAAAGAAAAAAAAGAAATGTTTTTACTAACAAACCAGAAGAAACATTTGCAGCTGTTATAGAAAACAAAATGCTAATGCATTCATTATAAAGGACACTTACCAATCACTATGCAGAAAACCTAATAGCAAATCTAATCATACAAGAGGCAAAGAATATCAAAAGACTGTCTCCTCATCGAGAAACCCAAATGACTTAAAAATCCCAGTGTTTTATAATGTAATTTATCAGTTCAGTAGTTCATATATAATTCATCAATAAACACACATATATTAGAGGTGTGTGTTGAACATGTTCTTAGTACCAGGAGAGTTAAATCAAAAAGTGGGGACCCTGGGGTGCCTGGATGGTTCAGTCGGTTAAATGTCTGCCTTCGGGTCAGGTCATGATCTCAGGGTCCCGGGATCGAGCCCCGTGTGGGGTTCCCTGCTTCTCCTTCTCCCTCTTGTGTGCATTGTCTTCCTCTCTCAAATAAATCAATCAAATCTTAAAAAAAAAAAAAAAGTGGGGAGACCAGTGATCTATGTAGAAGACCACCCCTGGCTCTTTCTGCAGAAAATTCAGAATAAGTCCTGTTGCTTCCTGGAAAGGTGGGGAAGGAATGGGGGCTAGCTAGGTACTCACCTCGATTTTGCCCTCCCTGGCGGCCAGCTTCAGGGGTGTGAGTCCCTGCAGGTTGGGGATGTCCTCGAGCTGCACTGTGGGGCAGAGGTGGGCCCCCTCGCGGAGAAGCCTGTCATACATGTCGATCACCAGGGCGCTGTTCTCAGTTGAGTTGTCTGCGATCATCACCAAGGCATGCAGCACCGTGTTGCCGAGGGAGTCGGCGGCCTGCAGGCTGGCGGGCTGATGCTCGTTTTTTAGCAGGTAGGTCACCACCTCCCACTGGTTGGTGCACGCGGCCAGGGAGAGTGGCAGCTCGCCTGGGGGGCCAAGGGGGGGCAGCTTGAGCCTCAGGCCTCCCAGTTTCCACCTGCCTACTCCTCATGCTCCTAGGACAGAAGGCCAGACCTCCTTCAGGAGAGACAGCCACCCACAGGAGAGGAGGGAACGCTGCCTTGGGATCCCGGGCCCTCCCAGGTCTGTACTATGAGGGAAGACGGTCCCAGACACCGTGGAGGGCAGCTGTGCCTTTTCCACTGGTGAAGGCGGCCCTGTCCAGCTCTTGACCCAAGGGAGTGGCGACCATAACTCTTTACCATCTAAAGGAGCAGAACATGGAGAGCCTAGGTGGTGCAGTCGGCTAAGCTTTTGGCTCAGGTGATGATCCCAGGGTCGTGAGATCGAGCCTCGGGCCGGGCTCCACATTCACTGTGGAGTGTGCTAAAGACTCTCTCTCCCTATCCTTTTGCCCCTCCCCCGCCATGCTCACTTGCTCACTCTCTCTAAAATGAATAAATCTTTAAAATTAAGGGGCGCCTGGGTGGCTCAGTGGGTTAAGCCTCTGCCTTCGGCTCAGGTCATGGTCTCAGGGTCCTGGGATCGAGCCCCGCATCGGGCTCTCTGCTCAGTGGGGAGCCTGCTTCCCTTCCTCTCTCTCTCTGCCTGCTTCTCTACCTGCTTGTGATCTCTGTCAAATAAAGAAATAAAAAAAAAATCTAAAAAAAAAACCTTAAAATTAAAATACAAGGGGGCGCCTGGATGGCTCAGTGGGTTAAGCCACTGCCTTCAGCCTAGGTCATGATCTCAGGGCTCTCTACTCAGCAGGGAGCCCACTTCCCCCTCTCTGCCTGCCGCTCTGCCTACTTGTGATCTTTCTCTCTCTGTGTGTGTGTCAAATAAATAAATAAAATTAAAAAAAAAATTAAAATACAGGGGCACCTGGGTGGCTCAGTGGGTTAAGCCTCTGCCTTCAGCCTAGGTCTGGTCTCAGGGTCCTGGGATAGAGCCCCGCAACAGGCTCTCTGCTCAGTAGGGAACCTGCTTCCCTCCTCTCTCTGCCTGCCTCTCTGCCTACGTGTGATCTCTGTCTCTATGTCAAATAAATAGATAAAATCTTAAAAAAAAAAATTAAAATACAGGGCGCCTGGGTGGCTCAGTTGTTGGGTGGCTGCCTTCTACTCACGTCATGATCCCAGAGGCCCAGGATAGAGTCCCGCATCGGGTTCTCAGCTCCATGGGGAGTCTGCTTCTCCCTCTGACCTTCTACCCTCTCATGCTCTCTCTCACTGTCTCTCTCAAATAAAAATAAATAAAATCTTTAAAAATAAAATAACCCTGTCTGGTCAGGTTTCCCACACACGAGTTCTGCCAGCCCCTTCCCCTCCCCCCGGTCTGGGTGTGGATGTGTGGGGAGCTTCCTTGCCCAGACAAGGCTAAAACATCTCCTAAGACAAACTGCTTTTGCAGGCAGCCCAGTGATTAGAAGTATGAACCCTTGGGGTCAGACAGCTCTGCCACCCGTTACCCATGTGACCTTAGACAAGGCTTTAATCCCCTCTGCCCCTCAATTTATCCAAGAAAGGCTCCTCACCAAAGTAGAAGCAAGTCCCCTGGCTCTTTTTCTGGAAGAAGTGGCCGCAGGCCCGGGCATGCACATTGGCCCCATTCTCCACCAAGAGCTGCACACACTGCAGGCTCCTCTTCTCGATGGCAATGTGCAGGGCGCTGTGGCCTCGGTAGTACTCATCCGTGCATTGGGCATTGACCAGGGGCTGGGGATTGCCAGAGTCCCGGTCGATCTGGAGCAATGGCAGGATGCAGGCGTTGGCTCCATCCCGAAGGTTCAACACAGCCTTCATCAGGCACGTCTTGCCCGTGGAGCCCTCTGTGGGAGAAGGGGAGGGGAAGGGGCACCAGAGTGCTCAGGTGGGGAGTGGCTGGACCGCCTACGAGCCTGCACAGCAAGCCCACGCAGGGGGATAAAAAATGATTGTCACACATGACTGGTGGGAGCAGAGCCATGCGGCAAGGTCAGTAAGTCTTGAGCCAACAGGTATTAAAATACCAACAGGGGGCACCTGGGTGGTTCAATCGTTAAGCATCTGCCTTTTGCTCAGGTCACGATCTCAGCCAAGGTGGCGGGATCGAGCCTCGCATCAGGCTCCCTGCTCAGCAGGAAACCTACTTCTCCGTCTCCCACTCCCCCTGCTTGTGTTCCCTCTCTCACTCTCTTTCTCTGTCTGTCAAATAAATAAAGAAAATCTTTAAAAATAAATAAATAAATAAATAAAATACCGACAGATATGACTGTAATTTCTGCCTCAAAGATAAGTTTCTAAGACATAAATTTGTTGTATGTGCAATATGGTCTACAAAAGACCATTCAAAGCAACGTTAGGTGGCTCTACCCCTTAACGGCTCTGTCTCCTTGGGGAGGTCACACGGCCTTTCTTAACCTCAGTTTTCCTGACTGTAAAATGGGACTATTCCAGGGTTGTTCTAAGGGCCCAATGGAATTACATACAGAATTTTTAGTACCCAGAGGGCCTGGCACAGAGTATGTGGAGGCCAAAAACGACACACAACCTTAAATGGCCATCATTAAGGAATTCGTTAGCTAAACTGTGGTAAACGTACACAACAGAAACCTCTGTGGCTGACAAAGTGACTGACTTAGAGGTCTGTGTACTGAAGTGGAAGGTACGAGATGGAGGCACCTGGGTGGCTCAGTGGGTTGAGCCTCTGCTTTTGGCTCAGGTCATGATCTCAGGTCCTGGGATTGAGCCCCAAGTTGGGCTCTCCGCTTGGCAGAGAGCCTGCTTCCCGCGCCCACCCCCCGTCTGCCTCTCTGCCGACTTGTGATCTCTGTCAAATAAATAAATAAAATCTTTAAAAAAAAAAAAAAAGAAAGTACGAGATGTAGCACATGGCAAGACCCATCACATAAGTATGTACCTAATATATTTAAACGCTTTGAAAAGATAGACGCTGGGACGCCTGGGTGGCTCAGTTGGTTAGGCAGCTGCCTTCGGCTCAGGTCATGATCCCAGCGTCCTGGGATCGAGTCCCACATCGGGCTCCTTGCTCTGCAGGGAGCCTGCTTCTCCCTCTGCCTCTGCCTGCCATTCTGTCTGCCTGTGCTCGCTCTCTCTCCCTCTCTCTCTCTGACAAAAAAATAAATAAAATCTTAAAAAAAAAAAAAAAAAAAAAAAAGATAGACTCCAAATCATTAACGGGGATCCGGGATGTCCTTCTGTTTTACCCTCAGCTTTATACATGCCATTACTACCTGAATCTTCTAGAATACACAAATCTTGTTTTTCTAACCAGACTGAACGATCAAGGTACTTCGATCTGGGGCAAAAAATGTTCTGAGATGGGTCAAGTGTATGGTATGTGTATTACACCTCAACAACACTGTTATACAAAAAGAAAAGAAAAAGAAAACAATGCACCGTGGAAGCCTGTGAGTATCCATTTGGCCAGTGAAATGGGCTGAGGACGGCAGAGGTAGGCCAGGAGCCCGTGGGGTGGGTGGACGTGGGAGGCACATCCATGACCAAAACGAGGCATTCGGGCTGGAGGGTTGCTGAGAACTGCCCCTTGGCTCTTGACCAAGGTCAAGGCTAACCCGTCTGCCAAGTCTCAGCACAGCGGTCAGGGCGCAGGGGCTCTGGCCCACAGGGCAGACCTACCTGTGTACTCTTGGTCGGTGAGGTACTTGCTGGTCCGGGACAGGTACTCTGGTAACCCAGCCAGATCCTTGGGGACACCCCGGGCAACTGCGCTGAAGAGCCGATCACGGTCAAAGCGGTTTGGGTCCGGCTGGCTGTGGGGATGTGACTTGTGTCTGATGCTATGGAAGAACCATGGCCCCTTCAGGAAGCCCCCAACCCGGGCAGCCCTTTCATGGAGTCCTGTGTGCACCTTGCAGGCTCGTGAGCCCCGGGGGAGCCTTTCTGAGGAGCTCTTCCTCCCAGGGCAGACCAAGGACTCGCTGAGAGACCCGAGAAAGGGAGATGGGCCTGTCCGTCTGTCCGGGGCACTAGCCCCGGGCACCCTGTGACTCCAGGCAGAGCAAATGGAGTCTGGTCTCAGTATCAGGTACTTATCATTTGCTGGTTGACTTGATGATTTCACAACAGGCTCCTGATCCCAGAGGGAGGATTTCAGCACAAGAACGTGTCATGCCCTTGACCTGGACCCCGGGTCGGGATGGGACCACATGTGCAGAACGGGCTCACATGGGGGGAGGGGTGTCTAACTAACTCCAGACCCTGACTGCTAACCTCCAGGCAGAGTCTAGGCTAGGCAGACAGAGGTTTCTCAAAGACATGGGGGCCCAGCGCTGAAAACTATCAGATGTTCACCAGAGTTTGACTGAGAAGCCACATTTTGGGGAAATGCTATAACTCTTTAGCATTTAGAAGCTTCTGGTGACAGGGAAGGGGAAAGGAGCAGGGGGACCCATCCTGGGGATGCCCCCCATGCTGGGGGCTCCTGGAACCATGGTCAGCAGATATGAAGGGACAAACAAAGGTGGGGGGCTCTTTGATTCCCTGGAGAGTCTCAGGTCCTGGCTTCACCAAGGAAGGCTTTGGTGACTCTGATGAATGGGAGATTGTTGGGCTCAGTCATGTGTTAAAGCTATAGCTGTGTGACTGAGAGAGCCAGGCCCTGTCTCCTCCATGGCAGGAAGTTGGGTGTCCTCCTGGTCTGGCCAGACACACCCTCATCTCCCCAGCAGGCCACGTGGCCACACCATGACCAAGAGGACCATGCGGGTGACTAGGGAGCCCTATGGGCAGTCCAGCTGGGGGAATTGGCCATTTGGAAAAAACACTTCCTGTCACAGGGTGGCATCACCGTCTTGGGGTAGGGCAGCCCAGCGAAAGCACAGACGGCAGTGAGGGGCCTATTCTGCCCGTCAGGGAGGCTCCCCGACTCCCAGAAGCCTCACGCACATCCTCTCCTGGCCTGGTCTGAATCTGACCATGGCCTTCCAACACCAGTGATGGGGGCGGGGGCGGTCTCCAGGCTGGGCAGCCAAGGGCTGGTGCCCCATCTCAGGCACAAGGATGGAGGAAGGGGCTTTCCTGACGGAGTCCTGCCTTGCCAGCCTCATGCATCAGACTTCACACTGAGGGGGGAGACCGGGCAAACCACACACATACCCGAAGGGGCACTGGGGCTGGGCCAGGCCACCAAATCTGACTCAGGGTCCTCCACTAGAGGTGAGCGTCCCCCGCCCCGAGTCCCACCCCCGTTTGCTGCCTCACCTGACACCTTCTGGTTTGCGGTATTTGAGGTTCACTTTGATCTGAGGGGAGGACTTCTGGTCCTCCCCCTGGAACGGCGACTCCATGGGGGGTGGCCCATCCCCGTGGCCGGGCTTTCCTCTGTCCGCCTCACTGCCATCTTCTTGGTCTCCATCCCATGTCTGGAGCCTGAATGCCGGAGGGCTGGAGGGTGAGGCCATCCTAGGGTGAGGAGGCTGCTCTGTCCGGCTCAAACCTTGGTGACAGAGCTGTCAGAAGCTCCTTCTTCTTCCCAGCCTGGGTAGGGATAGGAGGTCCAGCTGAGGCCTACAAAAAGAAAAGTTTAGAAGCTGAGTCCAAGTAGACCCACCCACCGAGTCAGCCCAATGGGACAGGGAATGAGCCATGAGGGAGGCAGGCAGAGGGTGAGGAGAGAGAAGGAGGCCCCTGGTGTGAGCTTGGAACATGGGAAGAACAGGGACCCAACAGGTCTGCCTCTTGACGCAGTCCCATGGGAAGGGTTGAGATTGTCCCTGACTGTCCCTCCGGGACTTCCTGGGATCTGAGAGACCACAGCTGCTGATCCAGGAAAACAAACTCTCGAGTTCACAGTATGAACCTTTCTCTACATCACATCTTGTCCAGTGGCCAATACTCACAGCAGATAAGAGTGCCGTTGTAGGCTAGAGGCAGGTCGTTCAACCTCTTGCCACAGAAACGGTTGGAAAACCAGTCTACTAAACCTCTTATTTTGCTACCAGGACGACTAAGGCCCAGAAAGGGGAAGTGACTTTCTCAAGGTGGTCAGCTGTTGGCAGACCCTGGTCCAAAACCACAGACAGCACGCTACCATGACGGTCTGCTTCAGTTCTCAGTAGCTCTTGGGGCCCATCCCTGTTTTCAGTCTGACTCATCTCTGAAGGCATCAAATGCCACCTCTCTCTGTGCTTTTGGGTCTGTGGGGGCTTCAGAGTGGGGAGGGAGACCCCTCGCTGGAGGCCCAAGCTCCCCCTGACAGACAAGCCCACCTCAGGTCCTAGATGGGGCTCAGGGCTTTGACATCTCTTCACAGGAGAATGGAAACCATAGTCCCCATCGCATGGCAAGGCGTGGGGCCCCGGTGGGGGGTGCAGTTAGGGGGAAGACTATGTGCCCACCAGTGGGTAGGAGCAGGAAGAAGGAATAAGAGCGAGCGGTGGGTGGGGGGACAGCTGGGTGGGAGAAGGGGGCAGGGAGCAGAGAAGAGCATGGGAAAGGAAAAGAAAGGCCAGAAGTAGAGAGGGTGGATGGTGGCAGGGCTTGGGCTGTGTCCCATCCAGCTTCAGGCTCCCACAGCCCTCAGGGACCTGGAGGTGGGGGTGGGGGAGGCATTTTCCCACAGAAGCTGGGGAGGCCGGGATCTGGCTGACTGCCTCCACATGCAGGGTTTTTTTTGTTGTTGTTAATTAGTTTGGTTTTGGTTTTTTACTTCAACGTGAGCCACCATCTTTCTGTCCAATCTGGGGCATCCTCCCCAAGCCACACACCGTTTAGCTGGCGTGTGTCCCTAACCATCTCCCCCGCCCCCCAGTCTGCCTCCCCGGAAGCCCCCCAGCTCACCATTGCCAAGAGTCAGCAGCGACAGCTACCTGTTCAGCACCCGCCCCCATCCTGGGGGCCTGACCCTCACCGGGCGGGAGGAAGGGGTCCGGCAGTCCAGGTGGAAGCCGGAGCCCCTCGAAGACCCTGGCTCGGGGCTGAAGAAGCAGGGAGCCCCCGCCCTCGGGCTTCGCCGCCCTGATCAGTCACTGTCGGGTCAAGGCCGCCCCCTCCCCAGATGTGCCGGGATCGCCCACCGACTTACCCCGCAGGGCGGCCGAGCCTAGGGCTCGGCGTCCGGGGCCGCGCACCGCTGGGATCCCGGGCCTCCGGGGCTGCAGGGGCTGCTGGAGGAAGTGAAGCCGGGAGGGTGGCGGGCGCTGACAGCCCGGAGCCGCAGCACCTCCCCAAGCCTGCTTCTGAGCTCCGCCAGCGGGCTGCGGTCTCGGGGTCTCTGGGTCTCCGCACCCTCAGCCCACCCGGCCCGCCGGCATGGTGTGGGGTAGGGGGATCTCTCCCGGGTCGGGACAGGAGGGCCATCAGTGAGTGACCATCTGGACCACTGGCCACACCCTGCTCTCGGGAGACACGCCCCGCCTCCCCACCCCCACTGTCTAGCCAAGGAGGGCCCCGGTGGGGGTGGGGCAACCAGAGGCAACCCTTGGGTGCTGGGGCCTTGCCTCCGGTGGGAGCCGGCATGGAGTGGGGGGGGTTCTTGCCCCATGGTGCTGATGTCTACCTCCTTCCGCGCCCCACCACAGGGCTTCCAGGGGCCATGTGGCTCAGACTGGGAACTGGTGGAACCCATCACGGGGCAGATAGAACTAATGCGGACGGGCCCCGGGGACAGGAGAGACGCAGCCCAGCACACGACCCTGGGAATACACGCCACCCAACCAGCTAGCAGTTTGCGGGGATTTTCGCACCTGCCGGGGCTTTCCCCCAGCCCCCCAGCCGGGGTGGGGGGGTGGGGGCCTGTCAGTGGCACACTTCCTTTCGTGAAAGGCGCTTCCAGCACCAACCAGCAGGGGCCGACAGGGAAGCCCCCAGGTAATGCCGAAATCATAACTCCGGGCCACTCCCTGGTAGGGAGGAATTCCACACTAGGGTTTAGGGACTCAGTCACCCTGCTGGGAGACTAGGACACCTTCCTCTTCCCAGCTCCCTAAAATCCAGTCCCCTCCCCAAACCTACCAAATTGTCTCTTTCTCTGTCTGACCGAAACAACTATCATCTCTCCCCGGGGAGACTGCAGCCATCCCCCAACTAGTCTCTCTGCTTCAGACCAACCCTACCCTCGTACTCCATTCTCCCTACAGCAATTGGAAGGATCTTTGGATCTTTGGAAAACCTGATCACCCCCACTCCTCTGCTTAATCCCACCTCCCACCCCCAACCCATTGCTTCCCCTGGGCTTCAAATACAATGCAAACTCTACACCATAACCCTGTGAAGTCTAGATGTTTTTCTCCACCTTCATCTCTCTCGCAACCCTGTCTTACAGGTTACACGCTAGACCCGCGCTGTCCAATTGGGTAGTCGCTAACCACAGGGGCTATTTAAATGTAAATCAATTATAATGAAACAAAATTAAACATTCAGTTCTCCAGTCACGGTAGCCACATTCCGAATGCTCAGTAGTCGCATTTGGTTACTGGCTACCATACTGGACCGCACAGATATAGAACTTCTCCATCATTCCAGAGGATTCCATTGGACATGTGGCTCTAGACACTGGGACGCATTTCAGTTTCTCCAGTATGTCATGCCCCCTTCTGTTGCCTCCAAGCCTTGCACAAGTTGGTGCACCTGCCAGGAACAACCCTCCCTGCCCACACACCCCCCCCCCAAACACTGCCCTTGTTCTAGCCAACTCCTACGCATCTGCTGTCTCTCCATTTAAACATTGGTTCCTCTGGGTAGCCTTTCCTAGACCGTGGACCAGGTTGGGGGGCCCCATTATGTGCTCTCATGACACTTAGTACTTCTCTGATCATAACTCACTATCCATTATTGTTAACATCTGTCTGGCTTCACCTTTAACAATAACAGATGCATACTAAGCGCTCAGCACGGGCCAGACACTGTGGCTAGTGCTTTACGTGCAATTCCCAGAGCAACCTTATTTCACAGACTGGCAAACTGAGGCTGGGCAGGGTTAGGCACCTTGTCCAAAGCCAGAGGGCTGGGATGAGACAAAGCAAGGTTTGAATTCCAGGGCCACATGCTTATGCACCAAGCTCTACAAGGGACAAAGTTTTGCTTTTTTTTTTCTCTTTTCTCCATATCCTCAGGACCCAGCAGCCTGCTTGTGCTCAAGAAGCCTCCCCCACCCCCCAAGAAGGCTTTGAATGATTGGGTGGCTAATCACAATGCAGAGGACATTACTGTGTTGGGGAAAAACTGAGGAGTGAGTGGATACACTCACATCCTTCAGAGGCATCACCACATCAGGTGACCCTGACAACTGGGCTGAAAACCCCAGTTGCAAATGCAGTTTATAAAAAGTTCTCAGATCATCAGCCATCAGGGAAAGGCAAATAAAAACCACAATGAGGGGTGCTGGGTGGTTCAATGGGTTAAAGCCTCTGCCTTGTGGCACAAGTAGGCTGTCATGAAAAGGAATGAAGGAGTTTCACATGCTACAACTTAAAAAAATTGTGGATACACCTTAAAAAAATTAGGCTAAGTAAAAGATGCCAGTCACAAAAAATCTCATATTGCTTGATTTGATTTATGTGAAACTCTAGAATAGGGAAATCAATGGAGACAGGAAATAGATTAGTTGTTGATGAGGGCAACAGGGCTTGGGGAATATGGGGAGCTGAAATGTACAGAGCTGGGGCTCCTGGGTGGTTCAGTCATTAAGCATCTGCCTTCGGCTCAGGCCATGATCCCAGGATCCTGGGATCGAGCCCCAAGTCGGGATCCCTGCTCAGTGGGAAGCCTGCTTCTCCCTCTCCCACTCCCCCTGCTTGTGTTCCCTCTCTCTCTCTGTGTCTCTCTCTGTCAAATAAATAAATAAAATCTTTAAAAAATAGAAATAAAATGTACAGGGCTTCTTTTGGAGGAAATGAAAATGTCCTCAACTTGACTGTGATGGCAGTGGCACACCCTGTAAATATACCAAAGACCATTGAATTGTACACTTTAAATTGGTGAACCGTACTACCTTAAAAAAAAAAAAAAAGTCCTCTGAGCAGGAAAGAATGCCTGTGTTTTTAGCAGAAAATGAATCAGGCAGAGAAGCAAGTCTTCCTCAATTCCAAGGTTACTGGACTTCTATTTCAAGAAACTTCCCCAGTCTAGTCTCCATGTAAGGAAAATCTCCTCTAAGTAAGTAAAAAATCTCCTTTACACTTCTGTGTTTCATTTCACACTTAGCTACTTTTTATAAAGGCATGTTTCTTTTTTTGAATTTATTTTCATAATCAATTTTAACAAAAACAATAAAAAGGTCACAAAAATGTGTAACAAAGGTATCTTTTGGAGGAGGGAGTTAAGAATCAAGGATGGGGGACACCTGGCTGGCTCAGTCAGTAAACTCAGGATCCCGAGTTCAAGCCCCAGTTTGGGTGTAAAGCTTACGTGTAAAAAAAAAAAAAAAAAAAAAAAGGATCAAGAATGGGAAAGCAACTTCCTTTTCAATGTGTATCCTTTATACTATTTTATTTTTTTCCATTGACTTCTAAAATAATATGGAATCTCTTGTTGAGTTAATGCTCCAACTCACATATGCAAGATATGGCCAAACTCTGTGCATAATTAATGTAAATTCTAAAGAGAGGTGGTTGAGAGGGGTTCAGAGTCTGGAAGGTGGGAATTGTTCTGGCCTTAGAGGGAAGGAAGGGTAGGACTTGGGGTGAGCCAGGTGAACAAACCAGGAGCCATGCCTAAAGCTTTTGCTTCTCCTTGTGCCAACCCCAAAACTTGGTCCAGAGCCTGGGCTGGGCGATGTTTACTGGCCAGATAAATGCAGCCTCCCTGAGCATCTCTGTATCTGGAACTGACAGAAAAGGCATAGAAGTATGCCCGTTTAGGAACCTCGACAGGCTTCCTGGTACAACGCAGGCAGAGACTGGAGTTCAGCAAGCTCATAGTGGCAGAAAAAAATGCTAGGTGAGGTGACCCTGGTCCTCAGCGAGACAGGGACCCTCAGAGGGCTACCAAGACCAAGAGCTCCTCCTGGAAAAGGGGACTAAAGTCCTGCTGGTGTGAGTACAGCCTGCTGGCCTGGGAGAATTCTCCCTCTCATGGAAAGTGAGCTGCCCCTTCCCACACTGCCTCTGAACCCCAGAGGCCACTGCTTGGCCAGACCTCTATGTGGGATCTTTCCCCCCAGGATCCAGAACAGCCACATCCAGGCCACGGGCTAAATCTGGGAGCCCAGTCCCAGGTCCGGTCAGCTCTAGGGATTCCCAACCTTGGGCTGGAGCTGGGCCCTGTTCTCAAAAGGCCCTGCTATTGGCTAATGGATTTTTATTTTACTAACGAAAAGATCAGGAGAAAGGGATGTCATTTGAGAGACCAGAACTGAGAAAAGGGGGATAAGTCAAGATAGATAAAGCCGGAGTCAAGATAAAGATGGGGCAGAGAGAGGAAGCGCGGGTGTTAGGACAGAGAAGAGAGACACAGCCTGAGGCAGGACAGGCCAGAACCCGCGACAGAGACTAGGCGAAAGGGCAGACGCAGGCAGGGTCCGTCCGGGCCGAGAACCGAGAATGCATCCGATAGGCTGACTGAGATCAAGGATAACCCGGGCTGCGTGGGATGCCGAGTCTAGAACTCGGCTTTCGGTCTCGGAGGGGTGGATGCGGGTCAAAACCATGAGCCTGGAACGCAGAGGGGAGACTCCGCCCCCGCACCGCCCCTCCACCACCCCGGGACTCCTCCCCCACCCGGCCTCAGCCTCGCCCCCGCGACAGCTCCGGGGACGGCCCCAAGTGCAGCCCCGCCCCCTTTCCCTAAGCGAGCACGCGCCCGCGCCCCGGCCACGCCCCCCCCCCGCGGAGTCCCGGTCCCGCAGTCGGCGCTAAGTCTCCCATGACCACGTGGGGGCGCTGCGGAGCCCCGCCCCCGCGCCCTTGATTGCTGGCGGCGCGCGCCTCCAGCCCCACTCCTTTCCTGAAGGGATGAGCTGGACAGTGAGAGGTCAGGACCTGTGCCGTCTGCCTCCGTGAGGAAGCGGGCTGGTCCTAAAGGGATGCACTCTAGAGATGGGAACGCGAGTAAGCTTGGAGGGCGCTGCCTCAAAGCTGGAATTTATTTATCCTAGTTGTGGGATCTGGAAAGTCCAGGTCAAGGCCCTGGCATGGTTGCCTCCTGCTCAGGGACCTTGTCCTGGTTCATATCCAGCACCTTCTCCCTGTGTCCTCACCTGATTGAAGAGGCAAGGGATCGCTCTGGGTCTCTTTTATAAAAAAGGGCACCAATGTCACTCATGAGGACTCCACCCTCGTGATCTAAGCACCTTCTGAAGACCAGGCCTCCTGATCCCATCACATTGGGCATTAGGAATTTTGCGGGCCTGGCGGGGGGGAACACAAACGTTCTGATCTTAGCAAAGGGAATAAGAGGTTGACTAAAGAATCAGGGGCAAGAGTTCAGAAGGAGAAGTTATGATTTGAGTGTTAGACCCTCCCTCAGAGCCCTAGAGACCCCAAGGGCTGCCCCATTGCTGCAAAAGCCA